GAATTGCAAATATGACAAAATTTTGAATGATAATGTAGAAGATAGTGTGGCTGTCTGCCATTTTTGGCTATGTAAATACTGTATATAGATTTAGAATTCCTTTATTTTTTCCTATCCCCCTTCTTCCTTCCGCTAATATTATCCCTTTCCTGTCACCTGACAGGAGTGGGAATTTAGTGGGTCCTGACTGGTGGTTTGCCAACAGGGACAGGGAGGGGGTCCTGCCCGTGGGGTTTTTTTTTTTTTTTTTGACAAAGGGGTGAGAAAGACGACTACTTCTGGGTTGGACACCGAGAAGGCAAGTTGTAAAAGATTTCTTTGGAACGTGAATTAGTCAACATCGACAGAGAGAGCCTAGAGAACCAAGGAGACGGAGTCAAGAACTAATCAAGAGATTCGTTCCAGTAAAGTCTGAAGAGATACTTCGGTGCATATTGAACACCCAAGGCACAGTATCAAATCCGATGTTAATGGATTGGACATTCACATTGATTGACCACCCAGATCAGGACCCCGTTTTGCTAACTACCGGTAGACCCCTTTTTTTCCTTCTTCTTTCTTCATCTTCTCTATTAGTCATAGTATTAGGTTAAGGTTAGTCATAAGCAGTTTAGTTATATTAGGATCGCATGATTAAATTTATGTAAGAAACTGAACGAGAGCAGAGACCCTTTTGTAACCATATCTGGAAATTCGTCTCTGTGATGGGCATCGGTATCCTGTTAATTAACCAATTTGATAATAAACTGTTCGTTCCTCGTAGTTTGGTTGTAATACTTTGTCTTGCACATTCGAACCTCTCACAATAGTGACAATCCTTTTAACTGTTTCATGCTGTAGTAAAAATATATTTAGTATGTTAATTATTATCTGAGAAGTATGCATGGTACACCAACTGATAGAGTAACCATCCAAGTTTTGTCTCCCATCTGAACTCAAACCTCTTGTTGTCTACTACCCCTAAGAAGTACTATAAATGAAAACTAACTCTCCAACAGAGAAAGCATTTTTTATTTTGTGAAGGTGAAACTTATCCTAGAAAGTTAGACATTCTCATCATTGTGCAACATAAGTAATCTGCAGGAGCTGCAGAATTGCAGTTGCCAGAGGAGGAGTGACAGCAGATGTGCTGTAATGAGTATACGAAGAATTTGAGTGTCAGTTAATGTTTACCACATAACATGAGGTGCAAGCATTGAGAAATTTAATGGGAAAATGTGAAACTTTAACAGTTTTCAATGTTTTAATGTACATTACAACATTCTTGGATAATAATTAACATAATTACAATAATTCAAAATGGTAGCATTCATTTTGAAAGACCATGTATTAACTGCATTCTCCAGATTTCATTAGCATATCACAGAATGTGATATCAAAGAACAAACTTTTGTCATAATAAATATTATTATTTGTCCTTCTCTTCTGAATTTTGCAACATTATTTGTTATTTGATTATTGAATTTTTATCAATTGCAAAACTTATCAATATTATTTCAAAATTAATCTGTGTAAATAATAATATCTATAAATTTGTAATACCCACATATTATCTGTGGGTTGATATTTATTTGTCTGCAAATTAAGATGAAATTAAGTATTTTAATATTGGTTATTGAAATAATCAAGTAGAAATGATGGTAAAATAAAAATCTCAATGGCAAATTCAATTTACTAAAACCACTCTTCTTGATCTGTCTATTGTCCAATACTACAAGAAATAAATGTTGTTTGTTCAGATTTTACTTGAAATTATATCAAAACAGAATTAATCTATTAATAAACAGCATGAAAACACTTGTTGCCAGCTACCAGTTTTCTATTCAGCAGTTGAATTATCCTAGTAAATTACAAACATGTAACAAGATAAGTAACTCATAGGAAAAATAATTAGTTCCTAAAGCAAATATATTGTCCTTGATCATTTATATAAATTACTAACAAGAGAAAAATAAGCTGCCATGCCTTGGCTAATTTATGTTCAATAGCATTGAACATAAATTAATTAATTAGCAAAATGACATTATAAATTTATTATTTGTACCACAGTGACACTTCAAATCACAATGTTGTAAAACTTGCAACTGAAAAAAGTACTTTGTAAATTGTGAAGTGATTTTTTGCAATGTCAGTATGACCGTTCTGGAAAATTAATTATCATCATCATCATGGTGTTGGGTATAAAACTATCTCAGCAAAAAAAAAAGGTGTAGTGTGATAAGTTAATTATTTTCTGAGCACATTCTGTTTAATGTTGGGTATCTTTATAATTGGCTGTCTTAATTTTTGTAATAGGTACTGTACGCTTTCTTTTTTCTGTTTCTTCTGATGACTAGTAAAATAGACTTTAGAATGTTTAGAAATTTGAAATAAATTTATACTCTGATACTATTCTATGTTAACAGATAGTGTCAATAAGTGTTATAATGATTTTTTAACATAATTTATTTTTAAAACATTATCAAGTGAAATTTCTCAACAATAAACATATTATCCCAATAGGATATTATTGATTTATCAATTAATCAAATTTAAGCTAATCGATTAGCTTATATGAATAATGATTAAACTAATAACTTTAATACAAGATGCCAACATAATCTCTTATCTTTAGATTAAAGTTAATAATAAATTAAATTAAATTAATTAAAATTAGAAAAATTCTGGGAGAAAAGTTTTGACCCAGAGCAAGAATTGAACCTACAATTTCTGCTTATGTATTGACATTTTACTAGTTAAATTACCCAGAAATTTGATCCTTCTCCAGGCATGATTATATGATGTTATAAGCTAATTATATTTGATTATAGAATATTGCCAGATGGTGATTAAGTTTAAAATTTAATTGAAGACAGTCTATTGTAAAAGGAATTGCCATTTATTCACTTTCAATGTTCCAGAATACAAACTTTTGATGACCGATCTGTCTTTCTTTATTCTTTGTTTTTAAGGGAAGTTTTAATTTTGACATCAAGTAGCCTACAATGAATGGTCGGTCGTCAAATGTTTGTATTCCGGAACATTGAAAGTGACTAAATGGTGATTTTGTTCCCAACAAACTTGTCTTCAATTTAATTTTAAGTTAATTATATCTTGCTGACTGAAGATCCTCTTGACCATAAATCTTTCATTAACATTCAGTCATCCCAGAATAATACAGTCGTGTTCATCCAAGAGGATCCTTGGGATCACTGCATTATGCCCTCATATCTTAAGTAACAAGATCACATGAGGAGTTGTTTGTGGTAAAGGTATAACCTTTACAGGGTTTACAGGGGTTACCTGTATAAAAGTTACACTCCAAAAAATTGCCATGTTATGCACATCTGTGTTATACGAAACAAAGAACTAGTGCGAAAAGGGGGTTAGGTTCCAAAAATTAAAAAACATGCTGTTAAATTCTTATTTAAATCGGATTTATTATTCATTTTTTTCATTGGTAAAATACTTATTTACTATTTAAGTAAATATTTTACCAGAGGATTATTCATACTATATGATGATCTCAGCATGAGCATCATCAACTGGTAACAGTTTTTGGGTGCGTTTATTAATAGCGGTCGCTCTGCAAAGGGAGTGTGCTGCTGTTTGTAGGCATTTAGGAATGATGGTGAAAGAAAGATGGTGGCACCTACATTATCGATAGTATCATGATGGAGGAATCTATAATTCTAAAATGAGCTTTTAGAGGCAAAAGAAGGGTCCCAATTGTAAAATATAACCATTAAATGGATTATTTGTTGAAAGAGCATTCAAAGTAGCCACAAAAACAATTAGAATGCTCGCGCAGAGTTACACGGAGGTATAAAAGAACGCACTCTTTATTGCATTTCAGGTTGTACGAGGGTTTTACCCAATTCCCAAACCATGTTAGAGTAAATCTGTGCTATAGAAGTGCCGTGTTATACGGGGGTTACCTGTATTTGAATTTCTCTACTCCTTCGTGTCTTAGTTCTCCCAGATTTACTTAAAGATGTATGTAATTTATTGTTGGATACAATTACAGTTTTCTTTTCATCTCAATTTTATAAAATTTTCTTCTAAATGTTTTCTCATCATATTTAAATGAAACAATATGTCTTTGCGAGAAATGGGTTTTGTTGATTTGCAAACAATCTGTTTCGTTGTCATCTTCCTCCACTTGTTTTCTTGTATCCATGTAGCATATTTCAAGAAATCTCAACAAATACTGCAGTGTCAAAATTGTGTTGATGTACTATAAGATTACAAGATAGGTCCTTATAAATCTTCCATAGAATGGTGCTCCCTTATGTGGACTTCAGTTCTAAAAATGCTGTCAACATAGCTTATGTTTAATTTAAATGGACTGCTCTACTATCCTGTGCTCAATTAATGGATGTTCTGCTACATGTAAAATGGAAAAAGATTCAGGAATGTGGAAGAGTATGTATTAGTCCTTGTTCTAATTATGTTAAGGGATTGGTTAACTTATAGAATTATCTAATGTTCTGTTATCTTGAGTTTATATGCAAACAGAATATTAATATTTTATTTAGTATTCAAAAAATTCTTAACTGATGTAAAGAAACACAGCACAGTCTAGACCTCAACAATTATTAAATTGTTTATAATGTTTTTACTCTATAAACATTTTTTAGTTATATTTTTATATAAAAATCTTTAAGTTTTAACAAACTTAAACCTGTGGATTATTTTCAAGCAAAAATTAAAGCCAAATTATCAGAATTTGATCCGAAACAAAGCAGTTGTACCATAATCTAGTATAAGTATTAATAATCAGAAATTAATTTTGAATTAATTAAATAAATGTAACCTTAATATATAACCTGAAAACAATTCAGCAGTTTAGGCTTTCATAATTTTATAGGATTTTGTTATAAAATTATTGATCATTATTAATTGACTCACTTTTTGTCCGTCTTGAACAAAGAATGAGTCATTTGCTAATTATCAGTCAATTTTTGAATATTAATTCATAATTAACCTATTTAATCCATTGTTAAGATTCAATAAACTTAAAATATCAGAGAGAGAATATCTAAATTTTTTGGACTATTTTATATTCCAATTAATATATTTTTTTTTTGTAAAAATAATTTGTTTATTATTGAATTCCATTGATTTATATAATTTTAAGTCAAACATTACACAGCATAAACCTCAATTTGTATTCATCATCATTATCTATGTAATTCTAATTAATGTTTATAATGTACTTTTATGAAGAAAATAGTCAGTAAAAATTCTCTTTATTTCTTGTTCTTTTAATTAAAAATAATTTATTACAGAAATAACAAGTTATTTCTTAATAAGTTCTGTTATTTTTGTCTACAAACTTTGACATTCATGCTTTTATCCACTGTTAAATGTGCCATTGAGTAACTACAGTGGCTAGTTCATCCCAATATTGGTCCTCATCTATTCTTACCCATTGCACTTATCATGGGTTTAGTCATTCCAAATTGGGTCCAATCCATGAATAAAAGCCTTCTTAGAACCTGCATTACAGAGTTAAAAAACATATTAAAATACAACTTTTTATATTTTTGATAATAGGAAAATAATTTTTAAAAGTAGAAATTACTAGATAAACATTTCTATAAAATTATTTGAGTTCAAAGCTTGTTGTAAGGTTTTTTAGAAAATTTATGTTTATTAATGAGCATATTTATTATCCTGTTCCAATTAATCCACGTGACATTATCATTATTTCATCACAGTAATTTATTAATCATTATCATTAATATAGTTCATTTACAAGAAGTATTATTGTAAGCTTGTCTCAAAGTGTTAATCAACCATTTTTTTTTAAATTTTTAGAATTTTGCCAGATGATAATTTAGTTTAATCAAAAAAGACACAGTCTGTCCAAAAATATTTTTTGAAGCCACCATTTATTCTATTCATGTGTTCCAGAACACCGTCGATGACCAGACCTTTCTTTAGAGGCTACTAGGCTGTCAGGTTAAAACATTCCTTAAAAAACACACACAAAAAATATCCAATTAAAACAAAAAGTTAAAAAAAATTTTACTTTAACTTGTTTTTCAAAGACAAACAACCCATTTGTCTTTGAAAACTTTTAAGGTTTACAATGCAAGCATCTAATAAGGTTGATAATGATCAAATTATGATTATTAAAATATTTAAACTTCCAAAAAATAGTTTGTTTTTTTTTTTGGATGGATGACAAGATAATTGACGACAAGAGTTTTTATGCCATTCGAGTAAATTGGTAGTTTATGGGGAGAGAATCATATGTGATGGATGCTGATGGTTAGAGGAAGGAGGATAAGTCTTTAGTGATGTAAGATTGCATCCGTCATTAATTTTTCTCCCCAGTTGTCATACAATTGAAAATTATTCCTGTGTATTTGCAAATGGCTTTAACTTACGGTCCAATGAAATAATTTGTTGTAGGACACCTTATTTTCTTATGACTGTTGATGATCAGGGTTTGGGATCAAATGGCAAATTTTTGCTGATGTAATAGTTGAGTGTCCTCCCATAAGGAAAGTAATTATTGAGAAGAAATTAATTGTACAAATGGAAACATTCCTAAATTAGCTCTCTCAAAACTGACATCCTAGATGAACATTGCAATTGTTGTCTCTATTTAAGGATTGAATTTGGTGTCCACTTTACATTTTATATTATGCAATTGCCTAGTTTGTTTATATAGTTGAGCTGTTCCTATCTAACAGCCATGTTAACTTTGAGAAAGTTCATTGATAATTATGTACTTGATAGATATTTTTGTTTTAAACTAACAAATTGAGAATTAATTTTTGTTTAGTCAATAAGATATTTTAAGTGATCACAGCAAATACTTTTTTGATAATGATTAATATTTCATTTGACAAAATTATTGTTATGATGAAGCAAAATGATAACAATTTATTAAAATTATTTTTTATCTTTATTTTCTTCATTTTGTATAGATGTCACATATGTTTACTAATGGTATTACGCTGCAACAAGAATTACCCAATCTCTGTTCTACAAATGGTATCAAAGGAAAAAAAGTTGAAAAGGTATATTACATTTTGTATAATTCTTAAAATATCTATTTAAAATATACTTTAAAGTAATTATATTTAAATTTAGGTTTACGAAAACTTATTTTGGAATATGACACTTCTTAGTGTACATATTGATAATTTAAGGGCAACTACTGAAGAAGCTTCTCGTGCTGTTCAACAGGTATGCTTTCAAATTTTTTTTTTCTAATATAAAACTGATTATAAATGCAATACGTACATGTTTTCAGGTTAAAAACCTGGGGTCAGTTCTGAACAGAATTTTCCAAAAAGAAAAAGAGAATATCAGTACAGCCTCTTCCGAAAACAAAGCTTCAACGAGTACAATACTGACGAGCCAGTTGCTACCTCCTGTCCAACAAGTTCCACTAACGCCGACTTCTCCCTGTGATGGAAGGCTCAGAGGAATACTGAAGAAGACCTATTCTTCCCCCATTACACCGAGCACATCTTCGAGGGAAAAGACAGAAAATTTTTCCTACCACAATCCCTTGGCCGATGAGAGATAGTAGACTCAACCCACATGAAACGAGCAAATAAACACATAAAATGAACGGACTTCCATTTATCATGTGATAGTTACGTTTTTTTGTTAGTTCGATGTTTATGTTTAAACTAATGGATATCTGTCTGGCTGTACATAGAAACCTGTTCCCATTTAAAATGTTAACAGTGTGTATATTATCACATTTATAATGATCACGATATTCCTTCTTTCATTATTCCCAGTTGAACTGGATAGATTGTTGTGATATAAGTAGTTACTGCCTAGTCAGCAGGTGCTATCACTCATAGAACAGTGTTTGAATATTAGGAATATTTACACTACACCTCGATCTCCTTTTGCATGTGTAAAGATCTCATCATCAATATCATTTGTACATGAAAATATATCTTCCAAAGAGATGCGCCCAAGTCGATCAAGGTCGCCACAAATGCCGCAGCTAGTTGCAACTACCCGTCGCCCCACACGTTTTCTTTTTATTATCGAGTTTCAAACTTTGAAAAAAATATATATTTGTTATAGTGCGCACATTTTATTTTTGTTTCTATAATTTATTATTTCTGCTAACAGTTGCCAAAGAGGATCGTAGCAAAGAATATATTAATATTTTTGATGGCGTGTAAACTTCTTTTATAACTACTTAACATATTTTCTTTGTTAAATTATTTAAAATTGATATATTGTGTAATTTGTATCTTTAGCTGTCTTAGGTCCACAATAACAAAATCATTATTTAAATTCTAAATGACAGGGGCCATACATTTCTCTCTCAAAGATGATTCTATGATTAAGAAAGTAGTAATTTTATTTTAAAATCATAATATGAAGGATTAGATCGAATTAGTACAGTACTGATGTAGTAAAACAATAATTAACAATCATACAGAAATTTTTTATTTTTAATAACATTTTTAAGTTTTCTTGTTTTCTTCAACATCCAATGTACAGATGCTATAGGTTGTCCAAAAAATTACTGCTCAGTGAGAAATTTGTAACAGCATTAAAGTTATACATACAGTATTGCATATGACACTTGTAAGTTGTCCATTCAGTACCAGTTGACTAGTTATACCTACAGTATTTTATACAACTTAGTCTCGTATGGAATAGTATATGTATAACTTTAAATGCCATTACAAATTTATAACCACTCAGTAACTTCTTGGTTACTCTGTGCTTGAATTTTCTTATATAATAACTACATATTTTACATTTATTAGTTAAGCAAACTCTGGTTTAAATTCAAACAGCTGAATTATTTTTATAAATTAATCTGTCAAAGATGAAGCAGTTAAGTATTGAAACATAGAGTATATTGCTTATAATCTATGTTCTGTTATTGCCATGTTTGCATTAGTTTAATACTTTGAAACAATTAACGATACTACTTACTCATTTAACTCTTTCCAAGAGTTAAATAAGATAATGCAAGACGATCAGGTTGCTTCTTTCGTGTAGTTTGGATGCCGTGTCCCAACTGTATCGACTCTTAAGTTAACAGAGCTTTTACAAATTACATGATATATCACACTGTTAGCTTATCAATTGAAGTTTTATAAAAAATTTTCTAGTCTGTGTTGTGTTACATTTCAAAAACTTTAGCAGATATCAGATGATGATGGTAGAGAGATTTCTGACATGACGGCATCACGAGAGTCATGTTGCTTAGATCACGGAGAGAGCAAAGACTTCCGAAATATTCCCCCGTTGCATCCGTGGAGATAAAGAAAAGCATGTTTTATTGTTGATCCAAATGATGTTGAACTAGTTTATTTTTGTTGTTCATTTGTTGCATCTTTTAGATAGTTTATTTTTTTTAGTTAATCCCTAAAAATCATGCTCAAAATGTGACATATATTTGTTTTTATTATTCCCTTCTATTTTAAAAAGAATATGTTTAAATTTAAAAAAAAAAAGAGTGAGAAGCCATTAAGAATATTTTTCAAAGACCCACACATGCAAACAAAGATTTAAAAAAAAAAACAAACAAAAACAAAAAATGGTTTTTTAAGGAGAGAAAAATGCAAGTTTAGTTCTCCAGAATACATATTTTTGAGCTTGTTATAAACTGTTTTATACAGTAAACTATACATATTAAAAAGAATATATATATATACATTATATAATGGATTTTTGAAGAAAAAATAAAATATTTATAAGTGTTTACTAGACTGAAACTAGAAAAATCAGAGCAATAGCAAGGAGATGTAGGATCATAAGAAAGAAATAGATGTACAGTCGAAATTTTGTAAATTTAGATGTAAACTACCAAGAAAACAAGTAAAACTGTAAAGATTTTACTTTGAAAAAAAAAAACAATAATTTTTTTTTCTTCTGTTGAGTTATGTATAAATAAATTGTATAGCACCTGTAAGACAAGTTTCCTTATTTCAAACACTCCCCTAAACAATTCAATTATATGTATTTATTATAATTATTTTTTAGTTTACTGTACATTTATAAAATAATGAATATTAACAATCTAATCAGCTTAAAGTCCATTAAAGAGTAAAAAAAAAAGTATTTTTAAGTGGAGATACAGTTAAGAATCTGTCCTGTAACCCTATATAGACTACTAAATATATCTATATACATATATATTGTAAGTTGGTTACATACAGTGGCTCAACTGTTGACGTCAGCGATGATGCAGCTTAGAGGCGAATGTGCCGCACTTTTGCTAGAATTAGGTCAACACAGCTGCAGAAAGTGGGTGAATGTCGTTAAAAGTAGGACACAGTTTACGATAACCGGTGCATGCTGACGTTTTTGATAACGTAACACGTTTAACCGGTGAATAATAATAATAATAATGATTTAAAAAACGGTAAATTTTGCACATATCCCGTATGTATTTTTTCATGTAAAACACTAAAAACATTCACTTTTTTTTAAGTTTTCGATTGGTTCTGTTCGTGAGTATTATTATTATTGGCTGCTGCTGTTGTTGTTTTGGTGGTGGTGGTGTTGGTCGTGGCGTTGCTGCCACCGTTGCTGCTCTGATGCATCAGCATTGTTTTCAAGCTTGCAACTTCGGAAGCTAATTGTTGTAACTGGGATCTTAAATGGAAGTTTTCGTTACGTAAATCTGGTCTGGAAGGTTTTCTTCTTTCGCAATGTGGCGAACGATCCGAATCTCCGCTGCTGCCACTGCTACCGGGCGATGGGGTATCGTTACTCAACACGCTGCTATCTCCGTCCGACGTGGCAGATATGTCTTCGCGCGCGCTGTTGTTACTGTATCCGCTATCCGATTTCTCGCTAAGATGTGATTTGTGACGTAACTTGTGTGGCAGACAACTGGTGGCGATGACTGCCACAGTCTGTGGGCTGTCGTCGGGAGACGACCACGATTCTTGATCTCCGCTGCTCTGTCCAGACGAGAAACTCTGCTGCGAACCTCTGTAATAAGCGGACAGAGCGGCTCTCGTGGAAACGATTTTACTCTTTCGTACCGCCGAATCGGTAATCGGTATGGCAATCTGGTCCGAATCCACTAGACACTGTCCACTCATTCCGTACTTCTCTTTGAGAGCCACCAGTTCGGCTTTCAACATGGCGTTCTCTTTGGCCAGTTCTATGAGACGGGATTGCAACACCATGTCGTTCAACCTCCTCTTTTCACGAGATCTCTTGGCAGCTTCGTTATTTCTTCGCCTTCTATCCCAATAGCTGTCGTCCTTCTTGTTGTCGGGGATGAATTCGCGCTGTTTACGTTGAGGAAACAGCTCTTTGCTCTTCAGGCTCGTTAGGTCCACACCCAGATGAGCCACGGTGGTAGGCGACGTCCATCCTGTGGTGGTGACGACCGGTGATAAATCGGAAGGGCTCTGATTCGGAAACATTGCCGGCGATGGTGGAGCCTGCATAACAGGGCTATCCAAGTGATAACGAAGCTGTTTGTTTGGAGAGTGAGAAGGTTCTCTCGTATCTGACGAAGTTCTGCAAGTAGAGTGAAACCTAAACGTCAACACAACAGTAAAATCGATGGTTTTTTTTCGCGCTCTTTTTTTCTTATACAAACAAAAGCCGACTTACAAGTAGAGCATCTAAGCACGTCAGAGAAGCCGGTTGTTCAGGGACATAATTATAACTCCGCTGAAAATTCGTTTAAATTCTTTTTTTAAATTTTTTTCACAAGCATTTTAAAATAAAAAAAAATTCAAACAACACATTTAACTTAACAAGTTAAACGATAAACAAAGCACCCTTTTGATTAGAGCGAACACCCGAAAATCAGCATTTACTCAGCCTCGTAATTATTAAACGAAGGTCGCGTAACCCTATACTTCAGCAGAGTTAAAGCTTAGTAAGGAGAAGCAAAGCCGCTTTAAGTACAGAGAGATTTTTTTTTAAATAAGCCAACTTACCCCTATAAGTACGTGAAGCTAACCTCACCGAACAGATAACAATCAACGTTTGACGATTAATCCCTTAAAAATCTCTTACATTCCTCTCTCAGATCGAAACACTACACGTGAGCCGGCACACACGTGCGGTACGTAAAAAAGAAACCCGATCAATAAACTAGACAAAGGGGAAAGTTCCGTTACGTCACCACTCTTAGCAGCACGAGACCCGTTTCTGTATCTGGCATGCACCTTAAAGCTTAACAGACGGGGGTATTATGTACTGTACACTTAATTAAAAGCTCTTACCTGATAGTAGCAGGCATTGCCCACATATCCTGTGGTGAGTTTGTCAGTCTCATGACTTTTTGGAAAGTGAGAGTGAACGCGTGTCGCCGCTAAGGGAAGTGCAGCAAATTTGACCCAATTTCTACTCAGCTGATGGCAGAAGATCGCTGAACCTACGGAAAACGGGTCAGGGGAAAGTAAAGGAGGTCATGGTAATGCTGTCAGTCTGTAAGCTCGTCTGGTATTGGTAGAACTGATATACGTACCTAACGTTAGTGACGATTTTAGACGCCCTTCTCCTATTTGATGATGTTGCTCAATTTTAATTCGTTTTCTTGTCTGTATATATTTATTATACACACATTTTTTTTAAATTAATGTTCCGGGGTATCTGACCTGCTAATTTTGAATAATAGTTACGAACTCGCCATTTCCGCTTTTGCGGATTTCTTCTGTCACTTTGGTTATATGTTAAAATCTGTTAATAAATTAATGCATTATCTTAATGTTTTAAGACATGCCAACAAGAATTTATAGAAGAAAAAGAAGTTCGTGAACCGGTGAAATGTTTTCTTGGATGAAATACTCCTCTGTTTTTTTTTTTTGAATGTTTGCCAATATCGGTTTTATTCTAAAATGTTTCTTAGTACAAAAATCTCCTTAACTAAAATCAAAAAAAGTTTTGTTTCTCCTCCTGAATGCTCTCTTGCAGAGAAATTTTTCCATTAGTTTCTTAAGTATAAAAAAATACACCCCTTTTCTGTTATTTAGGTAAAAATTTCCATTTATGAATATTCTAGGTTTTGAAAATTTACTTCTTTTGTAATTTACTTCTTTTGTATTTTAATACAGCAATAAAACAACTTGGAATTTTTATAAACAGATATTTATAATTGAGAGACTGATTATTCAACATTTAAAGAATAAAATCCATGTTGATTTCTTTTAAAATATAAAATCCTTCTGGTTTATAGGAAATATCAAGAACATTTTAAAAACTGTTTACACCTATAATAGAGTAAATAACCTGCTGAGTTTAAGGATTTGAAAAGGGAGTGCCCAAGGATATTTTTTGGGGAAATAATACTTAAATTTTAGTAGGAGTATTCAAGGATTTCTTTAAAGAAAAGGAAAAGAAATTTGTCTGGTTATTAAAAATCGAATATTTAGAATATGTAATAACGAAAGAGATGCTCTAAGCAAGAATATTCTTAGATTGACTTGTTTTTAGTATGTCTTATCATATTGTAAGTAGTTCAAGAGTAGGGGAAGTTGTGGAAGAAGGAAGAGGCGGATCTGGAACGTCGAAGGAAGTATTATCATGGTTAAAGTGAATTTAGAACGGTTAATGTTCAAAAAAAAAAAAGAAAGATGCCGGAATGTAGATTAAATACTAAATGTTTACACAAACAAATATGGCGGATGTATGAGTAGTTGACGTAATTGAGATTTTTACGCATTAGTGTGATTTTATGTTTTTTTCAGCCGTATATTTTAAATTATTTAAAAATGTAACGTAATAGTTCGTGTAATCGTTGTTATTTTTTAAAAATTAATTGTTAAAGAAAAAATAGTGTATAAAATAGTTGTTTATCCGTTGCCTTGGAGACGTCGATAAACTTCCATTGAAACGCCACCTAAGCAGTTAAACCATTTTAAAGATTCATTACTTTTTTTTGTGCGTATGTAATTTTGTTTTGTAAAACAACCGAAACAGTTTTCATTATTTTTAATTTAACGATAAAATTCTTCATTTTAATTTTATTTTGATCTTTCGAATCTTCGATATTAGTTCCAATTCGTTTTAAAAAATTTATTTTATATCTCGATATTTCTCGCCTCCTACGTGATTTACTATTTGGATGTCGTGACGTCACCGAGCGTGATACAATCTACTTCCGGTCTTGTTGCTAGGATACCGCTATACCGCATGACTGATCTCTCACGTGGTGTCCAATAGGTTATGTAAGTCACGTGTTAATCATAAAAGTATCGAAAATGTTTAAAATAACCAATGGCGATTCGGTTTATATTCGAGTAGGAATGTTATACTTTTTATTATTTTTTATTATAAAATTTTATATTTTCAGTAATAAAGTTAACACAGTGTAAAATACAGTACAAATTTTTAATATGATTTTTTTAAGTATTATAACCAATCACTTTCTAATTTTCAAACTTTCAAATTTTAAACGAACTACGATTGGTCGAATTTAAAAGATTTCAAATGTTTTCAAATAAATGGGTTATTTGTAAGGAACTTAAATAAGACATTCATATATTTACCATAATCTAATTCTTATTACAATATTTATGATAAAACAGGCTCCCTTAAGACATAAACGAGATAGATAGAAGGTATAAACACTTATCCAAGGCCACAAACAACATTTTTTCTTGGATAGGCGTTAAGGAAGAGTGCTTAGAAAATAGCTTGATGACTTAAAAAATTATATAAAGATCCTTCTACAGGGAATTTTACAAAGAACGAGGTTGATTTAACACCCTAAACGTTTAAAAGAGGCGGAAACAGGAGGAAAAAGAAAAAATTATCTCTGTAATTCTAGAAATTAGTCACCCTATTCTTGAAAGTTTTTAATCTGTAAAATATCTAATCATAACTTGCAAAAGGTTAAAGTTAGAAGTTTTATTAATGTAACATTTAACTAGATAAACACTTGGATTATATAAAAGTAAGCGAATATATCGGGCGGAAAACAAGTTCGCACGCAGTTTACAATTATTATTATTATTAATAGCGTTTAAATTTAAAGTAGCGCTTATAATATCGTATTTATTAAGAAATGCACTCTATAATTCATTTATTCATATTCAACCTCATTAAATTCTTAATTATAGATGAGAAAAATGAATGACTAAGCTTTTGTAACCGTCCTTCACATGTGTAACTGTATCCCTGAGATTATATCCTTAGTAGGGAGGTTATAGAAGAAGGGGGGAAATATACAAGAAAGGGTGAACGAACTTTATTATAGAAAGTAAAACAGTTATTTAGGCCAAGGTAAAAGATGCTGAGAATAACGTGAGTATAAGTAACGATATTTTTCGACCCAAAGGATGACCTAAAAACATGAAGGGATAATGTTAATAATAATATAATATTTATTAAAATAATAATAATTTAAATATTAAAAAAAAAACTTAAACTGTACAGTAGATTGATTCAAATTTTCGTTTCCATAGTAACTCATTGTCGCGTAATATACGTCACCGCACGCATTCGAATCAGGTCAGACGATTTCCTGTTGGTCACGTGATAGCAATTTTATTATATCAGAATAACGATTTCTTTACGAAAAATTGAATCGAAGTTTGTTCAGTTTAATAATAATAATAATAATAATAATAATAATAATAACTATTTTCTAAGATCTTTTCGTGATGTTCGATGTTATTATTAAGCGAATCTTGCAATTCTTCAAACTTTTTAACTTCTTCGGGCAATTTAAATAATTGTTTAATTGAATCTTTTATATCCATCATTAAAATGATTTTCCAGCAGCAACAACAAAATGGCGTCTGATTTTAATTTTATAGCNATTTTTTTACCAAAAAAAAATCATTCGTATCGTAGAAAGTAAGATAAAACTTCAAAAGAATCTAGAAAAATTGCGAAAAAATAAACTGGTTTTTGTCATAAGTTTGTAATGACACCCTTAGCCGAGGTTGTAATATCTTTTTATATAAATTGTGCCAAGATATTTCGCAGTTTTGGCAAGTTCCCTTGGAAACGGTTATTGGTCTACGAACCCTTATATACGTTACTTAAGCAAGAAGGTAATTTCAATTTAATAGTTTCTTTCAGTTATATTTCGTCATCGTTAACTTTTATAATTAAAACCAGGTGATGTTTTCAAACGACAAAAGAACATTCACATATACTTTTATGTATATAAATATATATATATATATACACATGTTTTTTGGAATGTTGCCAGTCATAAAGGAGAATTTAGCACGAGGTTGGACAATTTTGGAAATAAAAGTATTGTTATCAAAGTCGTATAGATAAGTTCTCTTGTTTGTGATACGATAAATATTATTTATAAAAAAAAATAGAAATATATTATTAAATATTATCCAGAGCAATTTAATAAATTAAAAAAAAATGTTTTTTATTTTTTAATTGTTATTCATTTGAATTTTAAAATGATATTGTCTGCTGGTATTTTTTTTTTCCTCCTCTTCTAATTCCTCTTTTTAATTTAGAAAATATTTATATATCCTTTGTAGGTCAATTGTTAAAGTAGCGAAAACATGTGTGACTCGTTTAATAATTAATCAGGAAGTTTAAAATTAATGAGAGTCGTTTCAATGATACTTTTATAATAAATAATTGCTTAAATAGTTTTTTAAATGCATTTTTTAGGAGCTTTGACAAACGAAAGTAAAATATATCTGGTTTTAATTACGATTTTTATGCTTCTCTGTGAGGTTTATCGGGACTTTTTTTTCATATATATATATATAAGGTTATATAGTAAAGTGATCGAAGATTAACGATCCGTGCACATGTAGGTAATAAATTGTATCATATTACGCATCGACCTTCATAGATGAATACATTTAAATTGATTTCTGATCTAATTATTACGTATTTTTTGAATTTCGAAATTTTAAATTAAAAAAAAACGGCAGTGGCACTCGAATTAAATCTGATCTTGTCACTTAAACGAGCTATATTATAATTATATCAATATATTACTTTCTTTTTCCTACTTATTAAATTATTAAATAAAAAAAAATGTTTAAAAATAAAATAACCTTAATTTTATATTAATAGAAATATCGAATCGATAAATTAAAAATTATAAATAAATTGTCTCCACCTGATTTAAATTTAGTTTTAACCAAAGACCTTGTTTAATAATTGAATGATAAATGGACAGCCGATATACGGAATTGGTAAGAGTAATAATAATCGTATATATATATATATATGCAATGTTTTAATTTATTTATTAGCGCGGTGAAGGTCTTAGAGAACGGTGAACGACCATCCAAGGAAAAGGGTTAACAGCCGAGACAAGGTCATCTTGTTTGCAATTAGAAAATATTGACCTACTTTGTTGATCTACAATTCAATCATCAAATTTGGTCAGTTAAAGGTCGAACGTAAACGGAAAAGTCAAAGGTTAAACGTTCCCGTATAGTCATAATGGTTATTATATCCTTCGCTGTGATTTTGCAATGAGTATTAACACTGGGAATCACGAACTCAAATTGTTCGTTTGTTTAGGATTTATAATTCCGTGTATATTGCTTTTTAAAGTGTTCATTGTTAAATACATAATGTAACAGCTCGGTTGTTTGGTACGAGAACAATTTCCGCCATTTTCTACGAAAGTAATTCTTGTTTTTTCGTTTCTTTTGACCGATTTTTCAGCATTTACCTTGCATAATAAAATAATCTAAACTAAACGGGGGTATTACGGAACTATAATTATAAAGGAAAGTATTTTTTGTAATTGTCTCTATAATAGAGAAACCAATAAGTTATTATGTTACAGGAAAGCGAGTTAAATTTTAAAATGTGAAGGCTTTAAATAGATGAAAAAACTGACACCGACATACACACACAAAGTGTTTGATCGATAGAACAGTTTTTTACTTGAAGAAAGCTTCTAAATCAGGTCGAAAACGTTTGTAATTCAAAATAAGCGTTGCTGGAGTAAGGAAGGTGTTTTTTTGTGTGTTAGTGTCTATTGAAAAGTTCCAGTATATTAATTAATTAATTGACTAGATGAAAAAATTTTCGGGTGGTCCGAATCTGTGCGTCCTTACATTGTCTAACCACATAAATTTGAGATAGTGTGCTAAAATAACACTGATAGATCAAAAGGGTGATAAAAAATATTCGTGTAATTCCAATGACCCATTTGGATTTTCTGTATAGATAAGTATCTCTACATAAGCATGAATGAGATAGACTACTCTATTTTTTCTCTATTCTTTGTTTATAAGGCACGAAACACTTTCTCGTGTTGGCTAGAAATGTTCGGCTTTAAAAATTTTTGGTTCATTTCCAAAAAGAATATTTCTAGGATCAAATTTTCTACTCTTTATGTTAACTTATTCATATAATTTAAATTATTTAACAAAGTAAAAAGGAAGATATTTAGGAATTAAGTAAACACATTACTCTTTCGTGAATATAATAGATATTGTCGATTAATTACGTCATTTATAATGAATAAAAATGCTTGAGGATTAAAAAAAAAATAGTTATTCGTTATTCTGAATAATCAAACCTTTTATAATTAAAATATGTCGCTAAGTTATAAACATTTTACTTACATTTTCTATAAATTACGTACTGAGTATTTTTATTAATGTTATCATAATCGCCTTGTGAAATGAAATTAATATTAAGCATAGAAAAATAGATATAGATATATATTGGACTGTCTATCACTCTAATAAAATAAATAATGATACTTTTGATATTGGTAATCAGATAAGATGATTAAAAAAACTTTGAATGCTTTGTAATTTTATATTAATAAAGGACAGCAATAAATTCTCCCTGTCTAAACACAGTTTTTTTCTATTAATTTTTTATCGTATATTTGTATAATGAGTTCATTTATTTTAGAATATCTACGATACATTTAATTTTCACGCCGATTGTAAACAGGTTAGAAATATTCTGATCATAAAACTACGAATTAACCTAGATTTAATGAGTTTTTTTTTCCTACTTGCGATAAAAGCTATTCAAAGTACAATCGCATAAAGGATAAAGATAATTGGAGAAAATAATAATAAAACTATGATCGGATATAGTTTTAATACTCAAGAAAATTTGTGATAATTTCGATTAATATTTAATTAAGTTGCAAAATATTTTTGTTTGTAAGGTTAAACGATTTTCTAATCGTCACTTTAGCAATAATATAAATATTTTGTCGGAATTTTTTTAATGCTTTTATGATAATCACATTTGAGTAATAATAGTAAACAATAATTTTAAATAATTTATTTACAAAAAAAGAAAAAAGGACAGAAAACTTTAATGAATAAACTAACGCTAACATTTATTTTCTTCCTATAATCGATTCAACAGAAAATGATATTAAACGCGATCTTTCGCATCTCTTCGATTCGAATTCCTCTTCCGCGTTCTTGCAACATAATTTCTGATTAGTTTCGTTTACTGGCACTAGGGGAGCTAGCATCGGTAACGAGGCCGATGTTCCATAAACTGTCGACGTTAACTGATGATGATAATACGAATTCAAATGAGATCGGTAACCGTTTTCGTTGGTGATACTTTGTGGTGTTTGATAACACAGTTGGCGATTTGACAGGACGGAAGAAGGATAGTATGGATGCCAGGCGATTGATAAATGCGGATGGACGGATTCCGAATATTCATAAGGCGGATGAGAATGGACGGATGGTTGGCCCCACGTAATATTCGAATATTGAGACGAAAGTTGATCTTCTCTGTCGAAAGTTATAGCGTCCAGTTCCTTATCTGCGAAACATCTTCTTTTTCTCATTCGATCGCTTAAGTGGGGTAGAACTGGTCTTAGTGGATTAGCTGTCGACAACTGATATAACTTCAATCTGTAATCTGTTTAATTAAAAATAAGAATAAATCAGTTTTATCTAGCATATTTTAACTGTTATTTCAAAGTAATGTAGTCAAAAAAAATTGTTTGTTTTTATAAAAAATGAATATACTATTGGAATTAAATTCTAAACTATCATACTACAAACATTGAAAACTTTGCATAAATATTTAAAAGTTTGTAATACACTGTATTAAGATAAACTTTGAATGGCGCAGAAAACATCTCACCGTTAATGGTTTATGTAGTTTAATTTTGAAGTTATAAATTGTTTTTTAATAGAACTCTTTGCTAAACTTTTCTAACAACTTACAGTGGAATTAAGTATTTGTGTGTAAATTCGACAATAAAACACAATTAAACTTAAATACATTTTTTATAGATTTAAATCACAAAATAACGTTAATGAATTTATGAAGCCAACAAGCCCATGTAAATAAAGAAGAGTTATAAACATTTAACAATAAATAAATAATTTAACCAATAATCATACGGCAAGTCAAATTGAAGTATTTAGCAGGCTGTATGATGTGCTAACCTCTGCACTAAACTTGTATTTTTAAATCATAAGAAACAATGTTTTTTTTTTTTTTTTTTCTCTCAACGAGGTGTCAACATGCGGAAAAAGTAACCTCAAACGTATACTACATATAGTCAATATCTGAAATTCTATTCTTTTTAAGAAGGACAAATTTATTCAGAATTGCAATGTATTTGTTTATGCGTAACATTAGAAATGAAAATTCTGTTAAAATTGCTATAAATATAGCAATTTCGCAATATTACACTGATTTCTTCTAGGAATATGTTTATAACAATTGTGTAATAATCACTTTCACGGAAACTTTGATTATACTATTTACAAATAATCTCCATAATAAAAGGCAATAAATCAAAATTATTTGAAGATTAAGTTTAGTATATATATTTAATGAAAGAAAAAATAATTTGATGTATAATTATCTAACAACTATTTTTTTATCTTTGTTTTATAAAGTAATTAAAATTCGATAGTATTGGATCTCATTGGGCACCATGAGACCATGATTTTTTGGAAAATTTTCTTCTTGATCTTGTGGTATTGTGGTGAGGACATCTATATTAAAAAAAAAAAGAGCTATTTATCTTCTTTCTATAGAAATTCTTTAATAAAAAAGTTATTTATTCAATCTTAATTAGTTTATTGATTTAATCTATGTTTAAATCAATGTTGTATGTGTAATATGTAATAAATAATCATATAAATTGTGATTTTCTGTTGAAATATTATGAATAAAGCAAGTTTACTACTTAAAACTACTATCCATATCAACAAGAAATGTAAACATCCTGTAAATAATATAATCCACAATATTGAATGTATAATACAATGCTTTCTGAGCTTAATTTCCATCCGTGAGTTAAACTTTAGAAGTGAGAAGATATTAATTCTCATTACATTTTCTAGATTTTACGTAAACTTTTATATGATAATGTAACAAGTTAATCATTTAAAAATTGGGCGCTGTAAAATTAATAAAAATTACTTATACATGCAAAATTAACGTATAATTTATTTATTTAATTTAATAATAATTTGCGTTACAGGGTTATGCCTTCTGTCAAGATTTTTTGAGTAATTTCCTTTTAAAATAAACTACAGAAACAACATAAATACAATCATTAATTGCAAATATATAAAAATATAACACTTGACTACAGGATATGTTATATGTTATACAGGATAAATCTAAATAAATGTTTATCTGGGTTTTTTTTATCTCTACTTCATTCTGTTTAGCTTCTTATTCCTTTTTTTTCCTTTTTTAATTATAATTATTATAATAGTTACAAGTATAAATATACATATTTTTTTATTTCTGCGTACTCATCTTATAATTTGTACTCTGTTATTAAGTTCTTTTTACATTACGTTTTAGCAACTAATGTTTATACTTATTAATATTATATAATTTTTATACGTTTATTTATTATATTAATTTATCCTGTCAAAGTAAATTCTTATTATTTAAAAATAATATAGTTATGAAAAAAAATTAATGGAAGGTTATTTTTTATTGTTTGTATCATTATCTATTTCAAATCAAAATCTTTCAATTAAGAATTTGGAACATTTCGTGTTTTGGAACGTTTTTATTTGTAATTTATTTAGATTAAAAATTCAAAAGAGGACTTCCTATTGTAAGATCTTTTTAGTGTGACGTTTCAACATGGCGGATAGAGGGCTAGCGGTTCCAAACAGTGCAGTTCGTCAATAGTAGTCTTGTACTCTAATACAATAATTTCAAACCTGTAGCGATTATGGTGGATGAAAACATGAGGTAGATTTAAAATTTGTATTTTTAAATGAATCACTAAGACGTATAATGAATATTCTATTATTAAAAATTTTGAGATTGAGTAAATAACCGACTTCACTCAACAAAATCTGCAGTTGTCACTTTGTCAACTACAAGACAAAATGGACTGATATTATTTCAATGGAATAAAAATATGGCAAGGGTGTTTAAATCTAATAGAAAAAAAACCAAGTATATTATAAATTCTTGTATAAAATTAATTATTGTAAACAAGAAAATTTAGTACCATCGATGTTATTGCATTTTTGCTATAAAACATAACATTATTATTTTACAAACACATTATATGAAAGTTTTGCCCTACATTTTATCTACATAAAATCATGTTTTACATAAAATCTACATAAAATCATGAAATCGATGCAATAGATACCAGTACAATTATGTTTTCAACAATTACTAACTTCTCAATTTAATTCCTAAAATATACTATTAAGGGTCACCATAGGCGTCTTTTTTTTCGCCTTTACGTAAGCAGCCCTGTTTTCCCATTTGTTTTATCAGTGCAACGAAATTTATTTCTTAATTTTCAACCAATCTATACAGGGCCATCAAGAGAAAAGGTAAATACTTCGGGAAGTGAATGTATGAGTGTTTACATGAAGAAAGTTACGTATAACATATGAATCTACGACGCAGGAACGAACATATGGTGATTTATTAATATTAACAAAGATACAGCAGTATGAATGTTTCACAATTTGATATACCAGGTGTTAATGTAGCAGCTATGGTTGCATTTACAGTCCGTTGCACTTGATGGAGGGGTGACATCAGAGGAGGTTCTCGAAGTGGTTACACTCAGCATCGATTCGTTTTAAACACATCGTAATAAACTAAACTATGAGTACTTCTTTGAAGTGCATTCCTATTCTGTGATAATGCGGCAGCATTTCTTATCCAGACAATAAATTAATCTAGGAAGTATAAATTGAGCATCCTTCATCCAGCCACATAAACAGTACAACACATCGCGGTCGAAGGCTTGTGTGGGACCTGGGATAAAGCGGTTCCTTTTGCCACTTTTCTTTTTGAACAAATGAAATACGTATTGTCTCAGAAATTATTCATTTTCGGACAACGGTAGCGAGTAATCATTTCCCAAAGTATATAACTTCCTTCCTCTATAGTAATATTGTATAAAAGTACTAAAAGAATGAAATAACTAATTGTTTATCCTTACGTCAATATTGTTAATACTTATTAAAATTTAAAATTCTCTTTCTGTAAACTTTATGGTTATATTAAACTTTATTTATGTTTTAACTAGCAGTTAGCCGCGACTTCGCCCGCGGAGGTTTTGCAAGCAAACCCCATTTATATTCAATATTTCAACAACCATAGTAATTGTTATATAAACACCTACCGCTGAGAATGATGAGAATTGCCGAGAATCAAACGAACTATTTTTAATTTGATCAATTTTCTAGAATGTTTACAATCGTTTTATAATCGAACCAATATGCAATAACAAATTCGAATTTAAAACGGTTCGAACATTTGGTTAAAAAATCGAAATATATCAAAATATTTATAACAATGTCTGAAATGTTATTAATTTAATACACCTAAGTACTCGATGAAGACTAAACGTAATTAAAAACAAAAAAATCGCATGTAAAATAGTACAGTAGAAGCCGTTTTTCCGGTTAAGCCTTAATCCTCCCCCTCTCCCCCGCAGAGGAATTTCGAAAAATTCCTTCTTAGTGTGCATTGCCATGGCATACCCTACTGAAACACAGTTAAAAACAAAAAATTGCATCTAAAATAGTACATTAGAAGCCGTTTTTCCGGTTAAGCCTTAATGCTCTCCCTCTCCCCCCGCGAGGGAATTTCGAAAAATCCTTTCTTAGTATGCGTTTTCATGACGTACCCTGTGTACCAAATTTTACCTCTTTAGGTTCAGCGGTTTGCTCTGGGCGATGATGAATCAGTGAGTGAGTCAGTCAGGACAAGCAATTTTATATATATATAGATAATAAATTATAAACGATAAATGCTTTATTGTAATGTAATATTTGTTGTTATAAACATACTGTATTATGATACTGTGTATTCAGATATCACAAAGAAATAAAAACTAAATTATTATAAATTGTGTATAATTATGGAATAAAAAGAAAATATTTCTAAACATTTCCATTTAATAATTTATACAAAAATAAATATTTAGTTATTTATATTATGTCTGATTATCTTAATTTAATAATAATAATAATAATACAAGGAAAGAGAGAAGTGAAATAGAGCCAGGGACAATCATAAATATAGATTTATTTCTCTCTCTAAAAGACAAAAATATACTGTATATGGATTTAAGTAATAAAACAAATAAAAAAAAGATTTTTATATTTCAGTTAACTGATTTTTGGACCACCCTATAATATTATGTTTTAATTTGAATTTAGTTTTGTTTCTATTCTATTTCTATTAAAATTTGGTGACAAATATTAGAAATTTTGAATGAATTATAAATTTTTAAATATTAGAGAATGAGATGTCTTTTGCTAAAGCATAGAATGAACAAAATAAATGTATTTAAAAAAGTTAAAGAGCAAGTGAAAACTTATCACTGATGTATCTACAGGTAGATAAAATAATATATTAATTAATAAATTATATCATTTTGAAGGTTGTTTTGTTTCGTGAATAATATAAAAATAATTATAAAAAATGTATAAATTAAATGCAGTGATTGCGTGCGAACAGTTTATATTTAAAAAATCGATTTTACATTTTTTTTAAAGTTATATTCAACAAACCAACTTATTTATAATAATTATTTGAACAGTAATTAAATTTTCGATAATTAAATTATATTTTAAATATTCCAAATTATTTTCGTAACTAAAGGAATTCTTCTTGCGAACTACCTATCTGCCATCTGTCGATCGAAATTATAACTAAATAATGCAACTTATTTTTCTGTTAAATATTAAATTATATAAATAACATATTTTTAAAAACATCTCAAAATGTTTAAATTACTTTGTAATAATTCTCTAGATATTGTACTCTTTTGTAAATTTCTCAGATGTCGTTGATACATCCTCTTCTGTTCCAATATAGCTTCCGCTGTTTTAAGTTTATCTGTCGTGTCTTTGCCTTCAGTAGCTTGTTGCCTGGTAAGAAAATATATTTTATTAATTTTATTTTACTTTATAAAATTTTTATTATTTAATTAAGTTGATAACACACGCACTCGCACGCATACACAAACATACCCTTCCCACACGCACACACATTTAATTGTTTTTTGTGCCACTAGATGGTGCTGCACTTTAGACCTATCTTGGTGGTACTGTATTGCAGTGTTTATATTTTAAAACATTATTTAATTTTAAGCCTAAATATCAACTACATTGTAATTTCACATATCAAAATCCACTTATTATCATTGTATAAACTAATATTTTAATCAAGTCCATTAAAAGTATTTTACTATAATAAAAAATATTAAATACTTAAAATTAAATACTCAATTAAGAGTATTCAGGTTAAATTTCTATGCTAACATTACATTTTTATAGGCCTGTTAAGAATTTCGATGTGCCGCCGTTGAAATTTTAAGCACACATAATCACAATACAATCATCGAGAAGATAAATGCTACACCTGTTGTAAAATATCAGTTCGAAGCATAATTTAATTAATCTTATATTTTAAGACAATATAAAAATCATGTTGTAATGTTTAGATGTTTTGTTTTGAGATTAAAAGTTATCCAGGGTAGAATTTTATCGGTTTTACTACAATAAAACATGTGAAAAACACATAGATAGGACTTTCGTTCTTTTAATACTACACTTGAATACGAATAATTCATTCAAAAAATTTAATGTAATTAAAACTTTTCCATGATTTTAGGCTCTCTTGTGTTAGTAAAACTGAAGAAAAGATCAATTCGTAAAGAAAAAGTCCTTAATTTCCATAAATCAAACACAAATTTAACGAACTGACAAACGTTTTTGGCCTGTTTTATAGGCCAACATCAGATCAAAAATATAACGTCAGGCTTTCTTTTATGGTTATTTGATTAAGAATAGTCAATTATTAATTATTTACTACTTAAAGAATATTTTTCTACATTGTTTCAGAGCATTTTTCTTAGCTCTTTCAATGCATATAGGCCTATAGAATATAGAATGTGATGCTATTTTAAAACTATTGCATTAGTAATGCATTGAATTCTTTCTTGAGTTTGAAATTATCCTTGCAATCAGTTGTGTATTTTCTCTATCCTTGATTACTCATCTATTATTTCAAACAGAATTTGTATGCCATGTTTTTATATGTAAACTGACGTAGCATTTTATTAGTTATTATATTAACCAGAATGGGGATTTATAGTATTTTAACAATATTGTTTACATTCGATTGTTGGGAAATCATAGAATAAACAGTTTTTAAATTAAAAAAATGATTTGTAATTTGTTTTAATTAAAATTTATCTTTACGCAAATATAATAAGCTTTTTTATTAACTTTTTTTTTGTTAAAGTTAATATATCTTAATGCTTAAAAGTGTTCTACTTTATATAAATAGGCTACACATAGAGGTTAAAAAGATAAATTTTATAAATCTTTATAATAAAAACTCTAAATGTACATTTATTACTTATTTGTAGTTACAAAAATTATAGGCCTAAATTGATTTTAATTTATGCTTAAACTAATAGAAGAAATTAAATTTTATACAAATTTTAAAATATTAATCTTTATTATTTATCAAACAAATTTAAATATAATATAAAAAACTCTATTCAAAATACGCTAATTATAAAAGACGTGCGATACAAATACTGTACATTATTACGTCTCTTTTCTTAATTACGTAACACAAGTTTCACAAAATGAAATTTAGGCCTAAGATAATTTTATTTATTCGAAGTTCACACGATTTTGATTTCATAATTAAAACAAAAAATGTAATTGTAAAATCAAAATTATCCGCTAAAATCTCACTTATTAAATTATTAGGTTTAAAAGTTATCCTTTAAGGAGACAGTCTTTTGACATTTAAAATTAAAATTAAAGAAATTATATTTGTATTATACATGAAAACGGAAAATAAATTTACATTCTCGTTTCATTCTTATCATGAATGACTAATAACATCTGTCGCATCGCTTTGCTATCTTTAGTGAAAAATATTCATATTTACATGAAAGCCGTCAAGATGATGATGATGATAATGTAATCTCAGTTAATACTTGGTTAGACTTATATTTTTTACCTAGGGTTGTATTGCTTCTATAAATCCATCATCCAAAGATGTTATCAAAGATTTAAATTTGGTAGTGAAAATCTTCAGTTAGACAAGTTACTCGATTAATTTTCCGCATTCATATACGATACGGCAAAGTTTAATTAATAAAAAAAAACCTTTAAAACTGACTGAAATTTTACAGATAATTTAATATTAAATTATTGTTATTGTTGTTTGTAAAATTAAAAGTACAATATAACTGAAACGAAGCGTTAATTATAATGCGTTGAAATGTTAAACGATGTCAACTGGCAAAGATCTCTTGCTTTACTTGAACAATAGAGATTTAAAAAAAATGCATTAGCGTTCAAAAGAAACAGAGAAATTACTTTGTTATACGTTGTAGGTTTTCAGATGGAATCTAAGATAGTAAATTTATACAAAGTTTTGTTTTAAATAAATTCGGTTAATTAGGTGAAATTGTATGAAATGATCTGCCTCTTTTTTAAGAATTTTGCATTGATTAAGTATGAAAATGGAGGGAAAGAAAGTGAAGAAGTGTATGAAAGTTTCGAGATAGAAATCAAAATTCTTTTCACGAATATTTCCGGCTGTATCTTAATTCAAACGGAATATTTTGAATATCTTAGATATTTGTTTTCGGATGACATCTCTTCACCTATCTTTGAATTAAAATCTTTGCCTGTCATGGCACCTGTCACACGTGAGATGATATAAGAAATCTTATTAATATGTAAACATGGAAACAAGACGGAAACATTTTTGTTAAATGTTGGCTCCATGTTTAATTTCTGAAAACACGATATCTTGTCGGCTCCTTTTCAGAATTCTTATTTAATCAACTAAGATAAACGGAAAACGGACGGCAAAATTAATCATTGAAATTGTTTAACGGCATAAAAATACGCTTAGAATTTAAGTGCAGATACAAAATATTATAATTAAAATTTGGTAATCAATTTTATAATACTTACCTTCTTAGAGCTACTTGAGCGGCCATGACGCGTTGCCTTTCTACTACCAACAAACAATTCGGACATTGACAGTCTCTCCATCTGCAATATCTTTTGTGCCCTTTTAGACAGGATACAACGCCGTGATTACGACATCTTGCACATTTCGGTGTTCTTAATAATCTTCTGCTTTGCTTATTGGAAACTTCGGAAGAAATTGCTGTATCTACTTCTACATCCGATTGACTCAGGCCAGAAGTGCTATCGGGTCTCAGTTCCTCTACTTCTTTTAAGTTGTTCATCGTTTTACTGTAGATAATTTCTTATTTTCAGTATGAAACAATTTAAAATAACTCGGTATAAAATTCTTCTTTGTGTCTATAATTTTTCAATATTTTGTTTCTTTACAGCTCTTTTATTATTACTTAAACATAAATAATAATTTGAATGCAATCTATATATACGTGTAATTGACTTTTTAATTAAAATTAAATCAGTGTTAATCTTCTTTACATAATAACAATATGTGTGACTTTGAATTTGTTTTTATTCCTTTATCTTATTGTTATTTTTTATTCTTATAATTTATATGTTTGCTATATACTTTATATTTTTATTTTCTAATTATTGTTGAGATTATTGTAATAGGCGATTTTATTCGAAGTAAATTGAAGATGTTTTTGCTTACTCTACGGCATTATTCTGTAAACTTACAATGAATAAATTTAAAGACATATTATGTAATAACTACGTAAAAAATTATGTATTTAAATCGGTAATTTGTTAATTTAAATAGTAAATTTATTTTAGTTTACAGTTATAGGCCTGTGTTATTTGTGATATTTAAAATTTTTAACTATTTTAATTCATTTTGTGTTTTAAATTTTTAAAAAATAAGTTTTAAAACTTGCTTTAAATATTTTTCTACGTTAATATTAGCATAAGAAATACTTGGCGTGATTTTGAAGTATATTAATTTTCTTATAATAAAGAACGATGATTGTGAATTTATAGTACAGAAGTAGTTAAATTACAATAAGTATTTTAGCTTATTTCAGCGTAACTAATTATTGTAACTTGTACTTATTGAGTGAGCTTTAAACAGTAAGTTATTTCTTATATCACATTCCTTTATATCCCATATTTTTCTATATCAAATTTTAATTTATCTGTTAAAAATTCGGTAGTAAATGCTAATAACATAACTATCATTAAATATAGTTAATTATTCAATAAGTTATACAATTATATATTATAATATTTTGTGTATATATAATATATATTGTGACAGAATTTAAAGAAGACCATACTGAAAGCCTTCAATAAAAACTTGATGATTTAAATTACAATTTTAAACGTTCAAACTATTTGCATGTTAATCAGGAAAGTTTTAAATTGTTAAGAAATTTTAGTCAAGTGTTTTTATATAGTAAAAATGTAGTTTGAGCCAACTACAAGATTCGGAGCAGACTTCCTTTCTTTGATAAAAATGTATCACGCTGTGTTTTCAGTATTTTAACTCGACAAAATCTGCAATGGAAAGCAAACAGATGGTATCCATCACCTCTCAACTTATTCTTTGTGGTGTCGGCAATAGCAACTTCTGGCTAATTTTATATCACGATTACATTGCAGACACGTGGACAAGTGTTTATTATTTTGACCTGTCAGGTTGTTATGATTTGCTTCATATGTTTCCAAAATACGGGGTGATGAGGTTAGAAATTGGCCGTATAATTCATTTAAAAATTGAATGTCTTTTTTAAAATAAGCAGTGGCCTTCGATAAAATTAACAATTTGAATTTACATTTCCGTTTTTAATAGGTTTCTCGACTTAAGTTAAATAATTTTCGAAAATATTTAAACTCGGCCTATTGTAATTTTTTTCATTTATATAATTTTTACTATATTTGTTTATTTAGTATCAATTGTAATGGTTTTAACATTGATTCAATTGCTATAAATCCAGCAATTATCAGAAAATTCTTAATCAAATGAATAGATAATCAATCATTTTATAAGGTAAATAACTGAAAAATATTAAGGATTTAATTATTTATTTGTTTAATTTAGTAGCTGAAAGGAGATTCTAGAACTCTGTGGTTCATGCTAGCCTATGGGTAAATTAAAATGAAACAAATGAAAATGTTTATTTCAGTTTATTTGGATCATTTCGAAGTTTCTGCTATGGTTAACAAGCTGAAACATATTTTAAAAAATAATTGTATATCCTAAATTTTGAAGTTTTTTAACTGATTTGCGTTACTTTAATGAACGTTTCGGTATTTTATGGATAGGTTAGATAATTCTGTCATGAATATAAATTTAATGGCAATCAACATAACACTCAAAATATAAAATCTTAAGCGATTAGTAAATATTCATTGCATTTGGGTGTTGTCTATTAATTAATATATTATGAAAGTTACTACTTCAGCATTATACATAAAAATTATAACATCAACTATTACTCACAGATTTTCGGAATTAGAAACGCATCAATCCACACCTGTTAACAAAATGGATGTCCTGATAGCAGATAAGGTCGTCATTAGGTAGTCAAAGACGTACTCAGTTGAATCTATCTGAGATATCACGTTAATGTCTGTGATGCCAGCATTTGGACCATAGGCGGAGAAACGTCAGCTAAACTCCACCTCCGACTCAGGATAAGTCTCTCACTTTGCAGCTCCTCCCATGGAAGGATTGCACATAGGCAATACGAAAAAAGCGTCGTCGGAATCGCCGAATCACCAAACGAATTATTATTATTATTCTAAAAATAATCGAGTGGCATTTTTATATTCAAAGCTAAGTTAATCTAGCTATTCTATCTTCAGCATTCAGTTGCACAGTCAACAAGATGATGTTCCTCTTGTCACAATCGAATCCATTGTTCGCTCGTGTCACCGATGCTGGAAAGAAGTCTGCATGATAGGAATCGAGCCGTGAAGACCAGATAAGATCAAAGTTGCTTGAGAGGAACCGGAGTAATGGAGCTAAAACATAAAAGTTTCTATCTTCAACCATATGCGCCATTTTTGAGAGAAATCGATTATTTCGTGCCGATTACTCGCGAGCATGTAATCGATATTGACATTTACAAGCCGGTATTCTGTAGGGGACGAATATAACACCGGCCAGATGGGGAAACCAATGACCTCATATGGTTGGACAAGATGGCTTTTGACAAGCGTGTACAGCCAGCGCGTGTCATCGTGTCACTATTCATTTCCCGGCTCCTCCTGTGACATTAGGATTGATCATTAAAGAATTCTTTCCTGTAAATTTCTTTTGGGCACTGCATAATGCTTGGATCACTCAGCTACTATCGGTTCTATTGTTTGGAATTAAGCCACATTTCTTTTGGCTAAATAACATAAAGTGTTTGTTTTAGACTTCATCCATTAAGCGTTACGTTCTCGTGATGAATGCTTAAGTCTCATCCATTGCATTTTGTTACTCGCTCTATTTTCCGAGACTCATTAGTGATACTTTGCATGTCATGCCAAGTAAATGTAACGAAAAATGAAGCATGTACAACTTAAAACATTTATCATTCGCGCCTCTAATTACTCCAATTCGATTTCAAAATAGTTTCGCGCCGCCACGTGACTCGTATATATTTGGAGTGGAGATATCCTGAATAGTTTCAATTCGTTCTCGGAATCTTCTCTAGCGCATAAAGCCAATGAAATTTTGTCACTAATTGGTATTGAGGAGTACAGAAAGTCGCTTCTTCAGATTAATTATACTAGATCAGCGTTTCCTAAAACTTTTTATCTCGTTTATTTTTTGATCCAAGGCTAAATTTAAAGCAGCAGAGTGCCTTTTTTTTCTTTCGTTTAATTACTTGTCCTCTTCGCTTTGAATCTAAATGCATAAGAAAAAATTTAAAGGTATATAAATGGAAATGCTCTATACAAACAACACGGCTCTACAATTAATAGATCTTTGAAAAGTTATACTGTGTTATTCGCAACTAATTCTAACAACTATTGCTGCATTTTTTCTTCCAAAGATACGGAGTAAAGTGTTGAGGAACATTCATTCATATTTGAGACGGAAGAACATGTGAAAATTTGCGAACATTCATATGATCTACGTTGGAAATGATTGATGACTTCGGGGGAATAACCGACTACTACTCGTCCAGGAGTGTAACTATTAGCTCTCTAGTATCAGTAATTTAAGCCAAAAGGCTCAGGAAACGAAACGATCTGTCATGTGTACCTGCTTGCTTCTCAGAAAGTTATATCTGAATGACTCTCTCTCACAAGCTTAGATATGATACCCCAGGTTTGACAAGAAGTACGAATACACACATTCGTGGAACGATTAGGAGGAAAAAAGTATTTTTTTATATGTAATTTACACTAGAAAACACTTTCGTGTGAATTCGATCCTACCATATATTTAATGTTAAAGAGTTTGTGAATTAAATGCGAAATTTTATATCCGTATAGACGTTGTTAAATCTCAGCTCTATAATTGGAAAGAATACTATTTCTGGGATAAATATTCAAATTTAACGACATTTAATCGTAATATATTTAAAGTGGTACTGTTTTTAGAGGACTCTACGCATTAAAGGTCTTCTTTAGACTCCAAACCAAGGGTGTAGAAAATACATGAAAAATGCTAAACTTATGGTAACAATGGTTTAAAAAATGTGTCTGTAGATGAGAGGCCTTAAAAATGACCCCCGTCTAAGGTTTTAAAAGCTCTAGAACCATTAGATGTTACGAACAAAATAATATTAGCAAGTAGAAATTTCAGAATGAAAAATCTACCAAAAAATAAGTAAGATTCAACAGAATTTTTGGAGCGGCTAACTTTAGCATTTAAAGCTAAGTTTAATTGTATATATCTGATAATAATGATTATACTGCTTTATGTATTTACCTTAAAAATGGGAAAACAATTTACACTATAATGTAATAAAATTCTAGAGAGAGAGAGACGAACACTTTCAGATCAGTAAGAATACTTCATTATCTCGATGACAAAAAAGAAACTTAATCTGTAGATAGAGTAGTATTGGTTTAAAAATTACTTAATAAGGAAATTATCGTAAAATTTTTAAAAAGATTCTTGCTTTAGAAATATCCAGTTCTTATAAGGAAAGAAGTGCGTTTTAAATAATTTTTAGAGCATCCTTACTCGGCAAGTGTAGCCAGATGGATGCAGCTGCTCTTTCTATCTTTATGATTGTTTCAGACGATAAAGAGTATTTTTGTTCTTTTAGCACGTATTTTTCACGTCCATAAAGTTTTGAGAGATTTCGTAAAAGCTTTGTTTACATGCTAACATCTCTTTCTTTCTTTAGGCCATTTTAATAAAATATTTTTAATTGTTTATATTTTAAATTAAGATTTAACTTGGATAAAAATCTCACCATTAGTGTAATTTTAAAGTAAAAAAGGAAGAAAGAAAGAAAAAAAAACGTGATAGAGTAAAATAAATAAATAATTCTGCCTTGTATCCATTTACTCAATAGAAGCGCTAGGTTTTTTAGGAAACTTAAAAAAGAATCACAACTCAACGCTTTCTTAAAGAGAGACAATGATGAGCCTGTGAATTCCCAAAGTGGAGGGGTCACTCGTCATTACCTGGCTTGGTCCCTTTGCTACTGTTTGTGTAAGCCGACATAGGAACTGACAGTGATGTAATACTATCCTAAGTTGTGTTTTGGGACCGTGGCTAAAACAGATAGCCCGCTGTTATGAGCTGCACACTGCCAGTGCTGTCTATCAAACCTCCGTTGTGTCAAATACTCTACACTGATGCGATTTAGCCACGTTGGCACAAGATGATGCGAGTTCTTCTTACACTAACACTCGTCTGAGCTAACTGTCCATGGTTCCTGTTTTGTGGACCTAAATACCGACCGAATTGTTATCATGTTTGAAATATAGCGCTTTGCTATTCCACGAAAATTGTTTGCTGCAGTAATTAAGGAGTTGTTTAGCAATTATATACTCCGAGAGAATCTCTCGGGGATTTTTCTGAACGTATCTGTTTGCGTTTAAGCTTAATCACTGGTGCGTTACAAACATGCAAATACACCTCTTACACATAGAATAAACATAATATCGTGTTTAAAAAAAAAGTTTTTATTTACAGAAAATAGTGTTAAAAATTACATTATAAATTATTTTGATTGTTTTAAAAATTAATATAATGTAGTTTTGTATATAAGTAAAAATATGGCTTTTATTTTTATTTTAAAAAATCCCTCTTATAACTGTTAAAAATGTTAATTTGAGTGAACCGATCACGTGATTTAATTGTTAAACTTTGCACTTATGAAATTTGGTGGTTTGATGAGATAGACAAATACGCTCAAAAGCCACATTCCTCCAACGAAAGCGAAACAGATACCGAAATTTAAATCGTCGTTTAAATCGTCACTCGAATACCTCTGCTCCAAATAATGCGTTCCATTTAAATAAACGCAATAACCGGGTAAATTGTTATTTGGACAGTCAAATTCTGCCGAATCGTTCATAAACTTGCGTATTGTCAACTCTCTGTTATCTCGGAATTCGTTGGCATTTAGAAATGCTCCAGCATAGCGATAGATAATTCCATAACTTATATAATACAGCCATGTTGGTAACGCTATAAGAGACCTAAAAATTAAAATAAACAAATTAATTTAAAGATTTATAGTGTGTCACAATGTACAGTACTATCCTGTTCATTACCTGACGGTCCCACTTGCTAACGTAATATACACTACCAAAATATAGATGCTGGTGACGAAAGTTGTGAATGAACTTCTTATATAATTCATAAGAATAATAGTTTGATGCTCTGCAAATATGTAAACAGTCCAAAGCACGGCGCAAAATTTCGCCCATCGATCCCATTCTTGATACATCGGCACTCCACTGGAACACAGAAACATACACTTAACGCCATCTATTGCTTTTTTCGGATAGTAACTTTAAAAATTACTTACGCATATATTATAGTAGCTCCAACCCAAACCGTCATGGCACTTAATGGTAGGCTATATACTATCTGGCTAAGTATAAATGTAACCCCTCCATACATACCTTCTTTAGATTCTTGATAATATCTCGTACGGAAAGGTGCATCTAGAATTTTTTTTTAAATATAATAATATGTTTGAAATTTGTTTTTAAAAAGATTACCTTATAAAATTGCTCTCACACGTTATTGACGTGATGGCAGTTGATAAGAATGATACGATTATGAGACAATTAAGGATCAGCCCGTTTCTGGTCACGTAACTGTGTTGGTAATTGTCTAAAGGATAATAAAAGAGGAAAAGGAAAGTAAAAAAGGCTGGTATGGAAAGAAAACGAAGCAACAATGACTTGATCGAACTGTAGTTGCAATTGAAGAGTGATGCGTACGATCTCCTGAAAAAGAAACGGGAATTACGTGAAATATTTTCTGTTTAGATGAAAGGAAAATTCCGTTTTTCGTACCTTAACAGAGCAAAATATACTTGACCACACGATGGCTGACCATAAGCAGTTAATGGTAATTTATATTGCGAGTCGTTCTGATCTATAACATCTGGAGTGGGTGTTCCGAACTTTCTATAACGCGCGCCTTCGATTTTGAATTTGTCGACGAGGGAGGATATCTGAGTGCTCGATTCGATAAATCGCTCTCTAGATCGGCGATCAACCGTCGATAAACACACTAAAAATGTCCGAAAAAGAAGTTGAAAGTCTCACAATTAGGAAATCAACTCGCGTAAAGATAAAAACTTACGATAATACATCAGAGGATTTTCTAATTCTGGACACGGGAATCCGATACTGCGAAAATAATCCAACATCATTCGAGTGCTGCCTGATAGATACAAGTTTCGTCAGTGCAAAAATAATTATCATTTTATGTAAATCTTTACCATTTTCACTCACCTGTATAAACTATTTCTCCGTGGCATAAGTAAGTCACCCTATCTAGAAAGGGAAAGATATCCGATCTGGGTTTTTCCATGCTAATTAGTATAATTCTGTTATATTTCTTGGCATGATTTGACAGTATTGATATGATAAAATATGTATTTAGAGGATCCAGTTCGTGAGTGGGTTCGTCCAGCAATAGCAAAACTGTAAATTAAAATTTTATTACTTATATAATCTTATGCACAGGTAAATTCATATTCGAAAACTGTATGAAAGAGTTATTAAGTCACAAGAAATATTGGGAAAATTAAATTAATTTCATACAATACATTCTGCTTTGTAGAGAACAGAATTTTCTTTTATATTCTAGCAACGAGGTAAATCAGAAAGTAAGATATCATCTTTAACCCGCTTACCTGGATCCCGAACTACTTCAATTGCTATTGCTAAACGTTTATATTCACTAGGAGAGAGGGTACTGACTTCTCTGTTGCCCACTTGGTTCAAGGCGAGGTCAGCCATGGCTTGTTTTACCTGTCGGATATTTTGTTACTTATATTCTTTTGTTCGATTTATGTGCGATTATCATTATTATCGAAAATAAGAAATTTTATTGTAGCTTACTCTGTTTCTTTTAACGGAGCTGGATACTTTAGACCCAATGGACAATTGGGCCGAGTAACTTAGAGTCTGTCTGACTGTCAATCCGGGTAGTAAATTGCTCCTTCTTTGTACGTAACAGCATTGTTCTTGGAATAATCTGGCCGATATAGGTACGTCGTTTAGAAGAATTTGTCCGTGAGTCGTACCAGAAGCTTGTCTGGCAATTATTTCCAACAATGCTCTTTTTCCGCTACCTGCAATTGTAAGAAATGAATAAAAATATTTAATACACTGTTAGACAATTATAGGCCTATTTCGAAGTGTTTCGTTGACAAATTTGAATGTTGTTTTCTTTGAATAGTAGTCATTCTTATAAATATAACAGAATAAAAGAAATTTATTTTTTTATAGTAGTAATTCTATAGTTTAATTAACTATTCATATTATAAATATACATTATAATAATCGATTTATGTGTTTAAGAGGCCATTGTGAACATTTTAACATACCAAATTTCGCTTTTATTCAATATCACACTTAATTATAAAGTGTTTCTTATTCTACTTTTACTTATTCTTTGATGACTACTAGAAAACAATAGTTATAGAACGGCATCAACCTTGAAGTACTCGAACGCTAGTGCACCGTTTACCACTTTTAAGTCTTTTGTTCAAGCTAACCGGACCTTTTTTTTATGCGTATAAACTTAATTAACAACGAAGCATTACGTCATTCCTCGTATTACAAAAGGCATTTACCTTTAGAACCTAATATAGCCATGACTTCTCCAGCGTGGACTTCCATGGTGACATCTTTTAAAATGGCACCCATCACCTTAGGTCCGGTGACTTTCTGTAAAAACGTCGGTTTGTCGAGCTGTCCCGAATGAAACACGCTTTCCAATTCCAACACATGATCGCTAGATATCATGGCTGAAATATAAAAACAAGTAAATAAATATTTTTATTTAATTATAATGAATTTCTATCTTGTAAAGCGTTAAGAAACTTCCTGGTTATGCAAAAGATGTCAGAAAATCTTCGATGACACTGTGTGACCCTCACTCACAGTAATGTCACGGAATGTGATGTAATAATGGGTTCTAGATGTAAGTGTTGCTGCACGATATGAGAAACGTGTCTTGAAATCATTTTATACTATTTCCTGAGGTGTTGTAGTCTTCAAAAAATATATATATATAACGTATACATACGTGAATAGGGGAGTTGATATTTACTAACAAATAAAAAAATCTAATTTAAAAGGGCATAAAATAAAACTACTCATACTCGTTAGCATTAATAAAGGCACGAGTAATGAATAATAATTGTTGTGATTTAGTTACAGTTATTAGTTATTGACGCATTCTCTTGTTACAAGAGGCATTCAAAATAGGCCATTCGAGCGTTAAGAAAAAAGGTAATTTGTTTGAAAAGAATAGTGTTAATAATTCCGCGTCAATTCTGACGTTATGGCGATTGTAAAGATGCTAATATGTTGCATTATAAAGGGTCAAAGCGTTAGTTTTACAAGAGGAAAAATGCACTCAGTTAACAAAGTAAAATAATTGAGTCTAAACGAGCTAATAATTAAACTTTTTAAAGCGATTTTCACTTGTCTTAAGTAGTAATTTATTGAGTCATTAAAGACTAGAGAAGGAAAACTGTTTAAGAAATTTATAATAATTATAATCACATATTAGAGATTAGAAAGCGACTTAAAATATGAAGTAATTATTATTACAGCGTAACCTCTATAATACTAAAGCATAAAATGATGTAATTTATGTGTTTTCTTTGCTTTTTAGGATAAGTAGAAGGATGTATTTACCACGATATCCCCTTGGTATGTATATCTATTGTAGGCCTACGTAATTTAAACGTTTAGAATATAATAAATTAAGTTTTTAAAAGTAAATATAACATATTTTATTTAATATCGTCGATTTTTTAAATGTTTTTTTAATAGAAATTATAGAATTTGTCGACAAAATGAAGGTTCGTGTAAGTTAATTTTACTTAATTTTGATTTTATTTCGAAATGTATCGGTTTTTATACATGAGAGAGGAGAAATATTCATCGAAAGTAAAATTTAAAATTTCATTTAACAAAATATGAATTACAAAACAAAAATGAACTTATTAAAATTCATAAAATAAAAAATTATACATAATCTTTTATGGCACACAAATAAATTTTAGTCTCATCTTCACTACTATCTTCCAAAACAAAGTTTCACTGATATTCTTTATTTGCCAATAGTCAGACATCATCATCATTTGAAATCTTTTGACCACTGCTAGAACTTCCAACTTCTTTGGATTCTTCTGCTGGATTAGTTTTCAAGAAATCAGTTATGAGAGTCTGCCAAATACTTTGTTGCAATTGTTTTTGAAGTTCATTATATGGTACTCAACGAACTTCCAATCGGCTTTAAATAAGATAAACAGACGATTTCATATAAAATCTTATATCAAAATCATGTAAGTACTGCATTATACAAGGATTGCTATAAACTGAGAACTGTGTTACATTGAAACTGCATTGAGTAAGTATATCATTATACAAGAGTTACCCGTATACATATTATTAATGCAATAAGTCTATGATGATGTGATTTATCTATTGATAGCAACAGTTACAGCTAGGGTTTCTCTAATGAGATCCCAGCTGTTTTTCTAACCCGGAAAATCCCACACTTTCTTTTTTCTTATTTTGTGTTAAGGTTGAGAAAATTTTGCAAATACAAAGTATAATTAACTCAAACTGTCAGAATATATTTCTATTTATTAATTTTAAACCTACTTATTAGTTTTTTAAATTTTTGTTTATGGCATGTCACAGATTATCAATAATCAATATGTAGCCTATTTGTGGCAGGACTGAAAATTCTTTACTTGTCAGAACCTGTAATATCTTGAATAATTGTGCTGATGCTATCTTAATTTTAACTATTTCCAGTAGCTTCAAAAACTGCATTATGCCAGGTTATGCAAATTAGGCAAGGATACAATGAGTATGAAGTATGCAAGTATGAAGTTTTTCTTCATAAACCTGATTATTAAAGCCAAATTANCGATTTAAAAAATGCTGACAACTTATCTGTAAAATAATAAATAATAAAATTGCGAAATAAATAAATAAATAAACGAATTACAAGAAAAATCGTTAAACAATTTACTACATAATTATAATATCATATAATACAAGATTATTCGAAAAATGTTTCATAAAATATTTTACGCTTTTCCGAACAACAGGAAAAGCTCTAAAAACCCGTAAGAATGAACGTAGGTAACGATATTAGTGTAATAAAAATGGCCGACATTTAAAACAAACATTTATTTTTTAAATTTTATTTTATCTCTGACCGATAATACAATTTACAGGAAAATCCGGTTGCAACTGGTTTAAATGAGTCAAACTTTCTTAAAAGTGATTTACTTTAGACAAAGCCATTTGAATTTTTTGGCATTTACAAGTGACGTCATGTAAGGAAGTGAATTATAAAGAAATGACATAAATGTTAACAAATATATTTCTGCATTTATAAAACTTCATTAGTTTGAATGTTTTCATCTTATGTTACGGTGCGTCACTCTGTACGTATAGTCAGCATTATTATACAATTAATAATTAATATTCATTTCTACAGATCATATGCATAATTTAGAAAGAAAATAAAAAAATAATTTAAAAATTTTATTTCAGAATAAGAAAGAAGATTGCAACAAGAAGAGAAACGAAATAAGAATGAAGGTAAGACCAGGAATTCTTTAAAACATTAAGCATTGAAAAACTTATTAATTATATTATAGTAAATATAAATAATCTGCTTCACAATTAAAGTATGTAAAATGTTTTAAAAATTATATCCATCTGTCCGTGCACGTCGCTCAGAAAGTTATAACTTTCACTCTCGCTTCCTACAACTTTCCACATTTCTATTACACCCATCTGACAGGTAAATATAACAAAAGGTAAACAAATAACATACCACTCATCTGTAAAAGTTTAAAAACGAACGGCCTTCGACTAGTTCCCGTTTTTTCTTCTCCCACGTTTTATAAATCAAAACTATGGATAGGAAACGTTCCAAGCAGTTATAGGCGTGGTTGAATTTTCGTCCTTGTTCCCACGGCCGATGTTTCTTCTAGTACGAAAAATTAAATAAACAATTCATTATAACGTGCGAAACAATCATTGACAAAATTGACTATAACACGAGCGTAAGGAGCTTTAATTAAAACTTCCACCAATATATTATATTAATCCAAACTTCACATTAACTGATAGCAAAGAATATAAAAGAATAATTTATTACATTCGTCGATATCGAGCGAGGAATTTGGACTTTATAAAACACTAAACTTTCTAAAGATTATCTTACCTGAGCTTTCACGAAACAGCTGGAACGTTCACTTTTAAAGCACTTTCAGAAACAACATAACTAACATGGCTCCAGACCTCTCGGCTAAATCCCATGAGGGTTGTTTGTCATCTAAACGATACTATGCCGTAATTTTACGTCAGTATATCTAACTTCGTCCGATTGGTGAATTCCTTTAACGGATATACGCCCGACACCAATAGCGTGATGCTTTTTAGTGAGTCGAGAGATTAACAGGTTAGCATCTTTACAGGTGATATTAAAGGTAGAAGTTAAACCGAAAACTATTGGTCGACGGCTTTACTTCGAAAACCTGTTTGTTAGAGGAGGTATGCACAAATAATAGAAAACCGGTTTGATACTTTGGAGATTTTCTTACAAACGTACTCATTTTATTGAAGTGACGTTTGGTCAAGCAGTTTAAGTCAAATTTTTACTCTCTCCTTTATTTTCAGGCAAATTGTCGTCATTTTCTGATTTTCCACCTCAGGTGTGGACTTTGCCAGATGAACGAGTTAAGGATCTGATGCTATTAACGTGTTAACAGGTAAGTTTTGACGTTTAGAAGTTTCAATGTCACAAGATTTTTTTTTAACGAGTTTAATATAAACACAATTATATTCAATATATATTAAATGATTCGTTGCTTTCGGGCAATGAAATTAAATTATTTTTATCAGTTTTTATTTAATATAAACTTTTAAAAGTAAACTTTCCCTCATTTAATTAAGGAAAAGTTCGTTTTAGGAAGAATTTCGTAACCGATGTTGCGTTTCATACCTTAGATTTCATTTTATCCCCCTCCTCACTCGTTTTACTTCTGTATTTTTTCCCTTCTCTCTGACCATTTGTGTACGGTTTTCTTATAATGGATTTTGAGTTTAATTATTAATCACGGAAGGAGAAAATCCGCCATGATAGTCACGCCTCAAAAAACTCTCTCCCGGGGGCTATGTGGTAAAATTAAGTGGAGCGGAAGAACGGAGCAAAGTGGAGCATATATCCATGTATAACATACAAAACGCTTATTATTAATAATGATATATTATTGAAATTTTCAAATTATTAGTTTTTTTTAATGGTGGTGAATGTAGAGAAATATATACTACATTAAAGACAACATAGAAACATTTATTCGTTGTATAATTTAAAATATTTCGCGCTTTATCCTTTATTATCTTTGCACCGATGTAGACGTGTTAGCCATGTAAATGAATGGTAGATAAAAGTCGTAATTATGATGTCCTTCCCGGTGACAAGTGCGGCTTGAGTTATAAAGTGGGAAAGTCCTTTTATGTTTCTTTTTTATCTTCGGAAGGTGATTTAGTTCCATTTTTTTTTAACGGGATAAAGTTAGTTATTTCAGGTAATATAATGTATCCTTGTAAGCATTACATCAATACAAAAAGACAGGTAAAGTGTCCTTTAGTCGAGTGTGTAAGGTTACAAATCTCAATCACTTTTACGGTTATAATTTGTGGAATATTTTATTCGATCTCCGGAGCAAGTGTCCAGTTTCCTCCCCTCTGCTGATACCCATTTATGCATGTATTATAGTAGATTCTTCTGTTATTGCGAACCTTTTTTCACGTGATACGATCAGAATAATTTTTAACACTATGCTCATTAAGATTTTTAAATGAGATTCAACATATATTAATCTACAGTATAAGTAATTCAGTTACATGTATATACTATTGTTTATATAAATTGTTTTTACTATTTAAATTTTTTAATATTTAATCTATCTAAACATAGTTTATACTACAATTTTCTTCTTTTTTTCCGGCAAAATGATGTACTTTTTTGTTGTTTATAGGAAACTGTTGCTCATTTTTCTGTTTTCGTGGAGATATGCTTGGTTTAATTTTTATAGGGATGCGTGCTTTTCGTTTATTTATTTATTTATTTTTTTGAACGAATAATTTTTCTAACATATTTGGCATGCGTAATTACGTATTTATTATTTCCATAACGGAATAGTTGGGCAATAGGTAAGAAATGTCAAGGTTTATGAATAACACAGTGGGTGATGCCACCACCTACGGATTGTCAACTTTCTTACAAGGATGGAAACAGTCCTTGATAGGTGAAAGTGGTCTGTCTCGTTATCGAAACCTGGTGAATGCGAAGCAGCCCATCCTAGGGAAAAAACCCATCGATTCGAAATTATTGCCAAATTTTTCTTTTATCTTAATCGAGGTCGAAGGCGTGACGATGAAAATTGCCAAGATTGGGAGAGGTATAGAAAGAGAAGTTGTACAGAACTTCACCTCACCTTTCCCACCCCGAAGACAACTCAAACACAATAGGGTGTTGTTTTTCTAGTCGAAAATCCACCACCGGCACCATACTCGATTTCAAGAAAAATGCTTAAGGCTGTTTCTGCGAAATAAACTAGTCAGTGAAGTTTCGGGAGGTTGGTGAACTTGCGACTTTACAATGTCGTTCAACTTCAATAACGAGTCTAGACTAAAAAATAAAATAAAAGCAGGCGGTTTGAAATTCTAAAATGCCATTTAGATGATCCTTGATGATTGAGTTCGTGGGCGTCCTCCCCTAGTGGGTGTCCCTCGTACACCAGACTCGTTAAACAAAGTCGTAGTAGGTTCAGGTAAGCTTATTGCGTCATTGTAATTCGTTAAATAAAATTAGAAAATAAGAAATTTAATCGTAAATCATATTTTTTTGTACATAAAAACATATCTTATTATTGTATTACAAAGCAAAATAACACCTCTCACCTTATAATTTCTTTTATTATTTAATATTATATACTAAAAAATAAGTTTAATTTGACTCATCATACAAGCATTCGATTACACAATTTATTTTTTTAATCTCGAGTGAGTAAGCAAGTCCGGGTTCGAATTTTACATTTTTATATAAAATTTTAAAATATTGATAAAGGTAATTTTGAATTTCGCTTTAAACTAGTTAGGAAAAAAGCCACTCCTAGCGCTTTCAAATAGTATAAATACGATATCCCCCAATGATATCTCGAAAAATAGGCGTGGTACACAATAACAATCGGCTAGCGTGATGATTTATACACTCATAATCCTGTTGCTGACCTATTACCGCTTGGAATTTTTCCTTTTAATTATTAAGGACAAGTTTAAAATTCAATTTTTTTAAATAATTTGTAGAATCTCATAGATGATGTAATAACTTAGTTTCATCTCTCGAGTAAACTTTACATTAATTCGTATTTAAACGATGTAAATAGCTCGAAGTAATAGTAGTTTCTTAATCTTCTCGACGAGAAGTACCTCTTAAATTATACTTTTAAAATATTATTATCCAATATTATCCAATATCGGGTTAGGAAAAGTTCCACTTTCGATTTTCCCAGCTTTTTATTTTTCCTTGATGTATGATTGATCTTAGGATGTCAGTAATTGTTTGCGCTTTATGCCGGAAGATATATGTCAAGGAAATAAAATCAGACCGAGATTCTCATCCCAAACTCGTTTATTAAAAATTTGTTCCTTATCTATTGATACAACAGGATGATAAATCTCCGTTAACTTACGAACTACACCAAAAATCTTCTCTTCATTATATTTTAACGAAAATCCCTACAGAATATATAGACTTTTAGAAAAATTTTTAACCAATTAACAGGAGTTTTTTATAACCACTTTGCTACATTTTCCTGTATAATTAAAATGCACTAATTGGAATAAATCTTATTAAATGCAATTATGCGTGAAGATAATAATCGAACAATAGAAAGTAGGGCATTTTTATTAAATGATGATAAAAAAAAATACAACTTATATAATTCGAACAAGTTATTTTTTGATATATAAATACTTTAAAAATCATCTTTCGGTAATATTTTTAGCAATTACAGGATTTGACTTTGATTATGGGAGTTTTGTTGTAAATTTGGGTTAAGTAGTGGAAGCATCGTGACCTCCAGAGGTTGGAACGTAATAAAGAGGTCACGTGTTTAAATACTTCCTGTTAGCTGCAAATTTAATACAATCTAACGTGAGCGTAATTTATAACGTTTTTTCTTTCAGGTAAAATGTCAGAATTTAACCCCGTGGAGAGAAAATATGCGGTTCCGAGCACGCTTTCCGAACCCGCCGGGAGGATGAGGACCACTGAAGACCTCCACGCATGGAGTATTTATAGGCAGAATTTGAATTCAGAATTTACAGATAGTGCACTCGGTACCGGAGATAAAAGCCGAAGACCATTCGGTAATTTTCAGCTAGAAGAAACTACCGTTCAAACTATATTAAACCATCCAAAATATGGTCCTAGAGAAAGAAAATCGGAACTCGGTTCGAACGCACAAACTTATCTTCGTTTCGGTCTGCCACGAGTACATCCTCACCGATTACACAGAGATGGTTCTAGCGGATATGATTCTAGCGAAGATGGTTCTCCTCAGATGAATCGGAGAAGAGTACGCAGTGATCCGGACTTTAGGCAGCATGTTATTCAAAAGGACACGCGTTCTACGGTGGAAACTTCTTTTGGACAATCTGAGAAGAGATTAAAAGCTAGTAGCGAGGCAGACTTGTTAAAAACTGATAAGAGTTCTAAAGATTTAACTGAAAATCGAGGAGAGAGGAGTTATGCAGGCTCTCACGCATCTTTACTCTCACGTGGATCGGGTCCTGATGGCAAATCTGATGGCAAAACCAATATATTTTACAGCCAGAATATATTAAATGCCAAATACTTTCCGAAAGACAATTTATATTCCGCTTCTAGCGAACTTGAAATAAGTGGACTACGTCATCCGCATTTGCAAGTTAGAGATTTATATTATGAAGAAGACAAATCTTCCACATGGCATACTCTGTGCGGAGGCGCGAGAACGAAGCTCAGACTGCTCGACCGTTTATCGTTCGAAGTAAAAAGTGGAGAAATTTTAGCAGTGTTAGCCGCTTCAGGTAAGTTTAAACTATTTGTTTAATTTTAATAAAGTAATTGAATCACAAGACTTATGTCTCTTTCAGAGAGAGAAGGTACAGCATTATTAGATGTACTCGCTAATCGACATAGAAAATGGAGGTGTAGACTTCGAGGAAATATCGTTTTAAATGGATTGTGTATGCCACCTTCGAAATTAGAAAGATGTGTAGCTTATGTGCCTAGACATTTAGATTTAACACCTGATACGAGCGTAAGACAAACTCTACTTTTCACGTCATTGCTTCAGCAATCTGATTCTTCTAGGAATTTTGACACAAAAGGAAGGGTAAGTTCTAGAATTTATTCATTTCTAAAATTGTATTGGAAAATTATATAAGAAGTTGACTACTTCTGACAGATTAACGCCCTTTTGGAAGACCTTGGTCTAGTTGAAGTCAAGCATACTCGAGTTAAAGACTTAACAGAATCGGAAAAACGAAGAGTTAGCATAGCGTGCCAGTTACTACTCGATACAGGTTAGCGTTAAAATGCATTCGTACCTGTTTTAAACATTTATATTTATACGTCAAATTGCAGATATCATTCTTCTTGACCAATCAACGAAAGGAATGGATATCTTTGACACTTTCTTCTTGATTGAATATTTGAGACAATGGGCTGCGAGAGGGCGCATCGTCATCATGACCATGCACCCACCAACTTATGAAATATTTACTATGATATCTCGAGGTAACTTAATTAAAACAAAGCTTAACATTATAAAAATTTAATCAGGTCAACAATTGCCATTCACAATGTCGTTATTTCAGTGCTTCTCTTGTCTACTGGAAGAGCATTGTTTTTCGGTTATAGGAAAGACATGCTACCTTACTTCTCTTGTATAGAATTTCCTTGTCCGGCTTTTAAAAATCCATCCGATTATTATCGTAAGTATGAGGTTAAACGTGGGAAAAAGATAACAACTGTAATTAACTTGGCATTATCCTTTTATCTAGTCGATCTGGTAACCTTAGACAACCTATCAGCCGAAGCAATGTTAGAATCTAGCCAAAGAATAGAAAATTTAGTAGAAATGTATCATCGGAATCAGGAACCACTTATGGATCCTGGACCTCCTGGAATGCCACCACCCACTGTTAAGAGAGCACATTTCTTTATGCAAATTTTAGCTTTATGGATGTAAGTAATCTAATAAATTAACAAAATATTATTATTATTTACTGTAAATATTAATACTCTTAAATTTCAGACGTGTTTTAATTTACATGTTTCCGTATAACATAATTTACTTCTTCCGAGACGTGTTGTTTGCTGCGCTGATGTCAGTTTTGGTTGGAGCCATATTTTGGAATGTTAGATCTTCATTCCTTCAAGAAAATGTGTATGATAGGTTAGGATTTTATTATGTACTTATGGGAATGTGTCTGTGGCCATTGCTGTTAAATGTTATTTCAGGAGGTACGATACTTCATAATCTTATTTTGTTATAAAAACTATTAATTTTATTATTAATTTTTAATAATTATTTTTTGCAGTGTGGCAGGAGAAAGTTTTTATAGACTGCGATATCTCCAGAAGACTTTACTGGAAGATAAGCTATGTCATGAGTAAAGTAAGTAATCAAAAGATAAAATTATGCGTATTAGTAAGTACTGTTTATTTTACCATTACATAATAAAGTTAACATTGAATTTATTTGTAGTTAATGTACAGTTTTCCCGTATCTGTGTCAGTATTTTTGGCGTATGTAGTTCCTGCTTATTCGATGGCAGGTTTGGGATTCCAGAGCTATGCCAATCATTTCGGTATTTACATTGGTTACATGCTCCTTTACCTCCTCACCATTCGCATGATGGCCATGGCAATGACGTGGACTTTCTCATCTCGTCATTATTCCGCCTTTTTCACCGGTGTGCTCTTTTTAATAATAATAAATTGCGCGGGTTATGTTGTCCATTTAAGGAGCCTGTATGTTATATTTTCTTGGTTTCAATGGGTTTCGCCCGCAAGATGGATGATGGAGCAACTGGCGATCAACGAGTATAGCAATAACAAAACAACTTACGTATGCCCTAGAAATCCAGCTGTAGCAATACCCGGTATATCCGATATTAGACAAAAAGCTGATTGTGGAATTGCCAGAGATTCAAATATGATAACATACCTCAATTATAACAAAGATTGGCCAACGTATCTGCCAATTGTAGTAACATTGGTATTCCATTTTGTTTTCTTCGTTTTTGGATTTTTCATTTACTTATGCACCTCTCAAAAACCCAAAATAAAAAAACGCAATTGAAAGTTTACAAATTCAAAATTCGCGAGTGCCAAGTAAAATTTAATGTTTATTTTTATTACTCAATAATGCTAAATTTTTGTACTTATCGAATTATCCTATTTAATGTAATTAATGAAAATAAATCCCACTAACTTATTTCTATGTTGTATGTATAATTAATCACGGTACAGTGTAAAAGACTTATAAATAAACACTATTGTATAATTATCGTAAATGTTACTTTAAAAACTAATTTTCAGTTCTTACCTTTTCAAATAAAAAAAGAAAAAATAACAATATGTNTATCTTGAATAATTGTGCTGATGCTATCTTAATTTTAACTATTTCCAGTAGCTTCAAAAACTGCATTATGCCAGGTTATGCAAATTAGGCAAGGATACAATGAGTATGAAGTATGCAAGTATGAAGTTTTTCTTCATAAACCTGATTATTAAAGCCAAATTAACAGGCTATAAGCTTCATGCCATTAGTCGAGATAAATCAAGAATACTGGACAACAAAAGAAGTACTGCAATGCATCTCAAAAACAAAGGTAATTTTTAATGCATAAATATGCATTAAAAATTACCTTTGAATTATGTAAAAATTATTATTATTATTTTGGAGGTTGCAAGACATATTAAATTACTTAAAAACTGAAAAATAATTATTCAATTTCAAGATTTATTTTATATCTTAAAAATAATTAATTATATACTGGGAAACAGATCACTTTTTTCTCAAAATCCCAAGACAAGCAAAGGATGGGGAAATGAGAAACCCTAGTTACAGCACAGCATTGTAAATTTAACTGTATGATAACATATGATCTAAAGCAGCAATTCCCAACCTGTGGTACGCATACCCCTAGGGGTACGCGATAATTGTTTAGGGGTACAGAAAAACGTTAGTTAATATGGCCAAAAAAATAATATATTATGTATCACAAACTAATAGTATTAAAAATTATTAGGTAAAAAATGTTCCTTGCAATAATCACAACTTTATTATGCATTTTTTCATTTAGTTTTTTTTTCTTTAATTTAATTAAAGTTACAATATGTAAAATTAACATTACGGGTACTCACTAAATTTCTTAAATGAGGGGTACAATCTAGAGATATGACATGTCACGGGGTACACTAATGAAAAAAGGTTGGGAACCACTGATCTAAAGTACTATTTATAATATATATATTTCCAGATATAGAGGGTATAAAAAGTTATAAAATACCAAAAAGCCAAATTACAGCATTTACAATAATAGAAGAAGAATCTTCTCTAAAAGTATTTCTGTGGATGAATGTTCAATTATTCCCTTAAATTTAGTTAATTCCAAGTGTATGTGCTAAGTGATTCTCTTAAGTTGAGTGAGCATGCCTTGGTACCAAGACAACAAACTGTAAGACTATGCAATATAAAATCCATCAGAAATATTTCTGTTTTCAGAAAACTGTGCCTTTAACTAAAAGTTATTGAGAATATCCTGAACTTTTTGATTAATGAATATAATAGTAAATTTCACACATTCATTTCAGTCTTATACTTACAAGGAGAGCCTACGGCTTTGGGGTAACGGATTTTGATGATCTTTGGTGTAGCGGTAGTACACGATGTGAGTGTACTACCTGTAAAATACTNACTATTGTATAATTATCGTAAATGTTACTTTAAAAACTAATTTTCAGTTCTTACCTTTTCAAATAAAAAAAGAAAAAATAACAATATGTATTGTTATATAATAATATGAGAAAATATATTCAATTGGAATATATCTGTACATAATTGTATTGCCTAGTAATTATATATAATATATTATTAACAAAATTTTAATTGTTGTAGAGAATAGAATTGTAAATTTTAAATTATTTTTTCATTAAATTTTAAATAAGTTAATACGGCGAATTGCAATTGGTAATCTTCCCATTGCGAAATAAAAGAACTACACAAAGTAAATAGGAATTTGTGTAAAATACAATTTCCTTAAAATTAAGTAATTATACATTTAAAAATGTATAGGATATTTGAGCAAATTACTTAAAAATTAGCGAAATTAGTATTTATTTTTGTTAAAGTCATTTCATCTATAAATTTTGATATTTTACATTGATTTTAAAATGCACAATAGATTATAAGTCTAGTAAAATAAGAGGAAAATCGGATTGCCAATAGTTTATCAACTTAAATAATCGACATTACTAGGAAAACTTGAATCATATAAAACACGCAGATTTCTCTTGATCTTTTTCATGCTTCATCAGGCATTTAGACGTAGAATGGAATGGAAATGACTTTTGTTCCATTCCATTCAACAAACTGAAAAAATTTCGCTTTCAAAGTAGTTTGAATGAGTATTGTTCCATTCCATATGTAAATGCTTGAAGAAACTTGGAAAAGATCAAGCGAAAACATTTTATGTTAAAAAAAAATTACTTTTTTTTTAGTAATAGCGATTCAAGTTGTTATCTTTTAATTGTTAAACTTAAATTATAACGTTATTTTATTTATTCTGATACTTGTTAAATACTATATATCGAAAAATAGTTTTTTATTTTGATTTTCCAATTGAATTAAAACGATAAATTTTTTCCCATTGATGTTAACTGAATATAAAATTTCACTTTTTCAGATTTTCACTTAGCATTTAATGTTATAATTAAAATATTAAATTAATTTTTAAAACATTTATCTGAAAACATATTCATGTTAAGAGAAGGTAAAAAATAAAACATTACATTACAGTAAAACCTTTAAATTTATATAAAATCAGAAACATTTCTTTTGCATCAAACAAATCAATAAAACATTAAAAATAATTTATTGCGAATAAACACGTATTTCATTTCATTTCAACATGAGTATTGAATTAGTAAAGTAACATAAGTAATTTTATTAAGTAATTAAAATTGTTATATTAAAGGTTTTGAATTTGACTTGTAGCCCTAAGCTATTTCCTCCATCCAATGATAAAAGTGCGAGTTTATAAACTTTGACTTTCGTAAATCTGGCCTTTAAAGTATTAATATAATCTATTTAATTGTACCATATCAATTATTCTAAAATCAAAAGCGTGACTAAAGCTATCCAATCGATAGATTTGTTCACGCTTTTACTTAATAGTTAATTCATGCTTTGTAATAGTACTTTCATAACTTAAAATATTACGCAAAAATTACGAAAATCATTAGCTAAAACTTTTTGAGAATAATATTTTTGAAGCGTATTATCTTTTTAGACATTGACACAATTTTTGGTGCACGGAAATTAGTTGCATCAAAGATGTTCTTATATGGTTTAATGGAATAAGGAAACGCAACACTTGGGCGATCTACCAAGAGAGATGACTCCTGGAATTTTCTTTGCGAAACTGACCTCTATTTTGATATTAGACACTCAATAAAACCCGGAAAACTCCACGTGACTGGTCCGTTGGTCAGGCACTAGCCTATCACCAACTACTAGTGTTCAGTGGTTTTATCTATTCGGCCACTGGTGGGATTGATTGTATATATATATAAACGAAAAGTGACACTGAAAAGCTGCATAAAAGAGTACGAATAATAATAAAAAGTAGAGAAACAATTAGTGTTTTTAATTGAAGGTCGGATGGCCGAGCGGTTAAGATGTCGGCTTAACGCTCTGGGTGAGCCAGAATCGAATCGCAANAGAAAATGATCAACTATAACTAAATCAACACCTGTTCACTCGCTGAAAGATTTATTCTTAACACAAACGTTTTCAATCCAATCAATGGATCATCGTCAGGTAAATTATTCTATTTTTGTTCTATTTTTTGAAATGTTCTAATTTACCTGACGATGATCCATTGATTGGATTGAAAACGTTTGTGTTAAGAATAAATCTCTCAGTGAGTGAACAGGTGTTGATTTAGTTATAGTTGATAACTTTTTATACAGTGATGTAAAATACTAACTTGTAAAGTGCAAAACTCAAATATAACCAAGAAAAACAAATATAATTTATTGAAGCAATATTATATAATTACATATCATTGTCAGATGTACATGATCGTGAATGATACTTATGATAAAAACATTCAAAACAAAAATTCTGTCTACACCAAGAACAACAAATAAATGCTGGTTTTTTAAAAGGTATCATCAACAGTTTTTTCGTCACAACGTGAAGAACTTGCTTCTCTTGACGACATTTTTCGATTATAAAATAATTTTTCAAAATAAGTTTTACTACACAAATACGTCTATTCGTGTCGAAATTTAGAAACGAACTGTTAAAGAGTGAGTGAAAAAGAACTCCAATAGAAAAAACGCTCCTAGTGAGAATTAGATCGGTCACCGTTAGTGATAACAATTAGATGGGAAAGTTGACACATAGGTGTCAAGAATGCACCGTTATTGTCAACAAAAGTATAAAAATATTAGACTTGGAATAGTAGAAATTAAATTAAAATAAATAAATAATTAGAAATGAATGAGTAAATAAATAAATACATTATAAGTATTTATGAATTAAAAAAAAAAATTATACGTGAGAATCGAACCCGAGAACTCAAGCTTATGAATCAGACTCATTACCACTCTGCCACGGGACGCTCAAATAGAAATACATATAATTTATATATAAAGTGCTAACAAAACTTTAAGTTCGATTTTCTTGATTATATTTGAGTATTGCACTTTAGTATTTTACAGGTAGTACACTCACATCGTGTACTACCTTTTACACCAAAGATCATCAAAATCCGTTACCCCAAAGCCGTAGGCTCTCCTTGTTAGTGTTGCCATCTTTTCAAAATGACCTGGACGGCAGGTCAGGTTTGTTCGAACAGAAGTTCCTGATGCACGCGTAATGTCATTTTTACAATGCGAAGAATAACGTGCTTGCCGGTTCTAAATCATTTACAGTTAGGGACGTGTGTAGAAGTAACGTAAGTAACCTAAATTAAGAAAGAACAGATACAGATGACTTAGCTCTATTGGATATTGGAGAAATGTACAATTGTACATGCAAAATAGAAAAAAAAAAAAGTCTAAAGGTTGTGCGCAACATTTCAGTGTAAACAGACTAACATGGCAAAATTGCAGATGAGTTTCAGTGAGTGTGAGTTCTTTTGCTGTTAAAATAGTGTAAATTTGTAAAAATATCTTCAAGAACTTTGTTTCATCAAAATTTCACAATTTATACAAAATTCCCAGACAAAATTAATAGTTCATCTGGA